TAATATCATCATCAGCTAATAGTTTCGTACACATAATTCAACGCTTTCAGTACTATAGTCAACTACCCAAAAATATGTAAAAATGTAAAAACCGTGACATAAATTTCTAAGTTTTCTTTAAAAACTAAAAATAATAATTATACGTACCTAAACACAATCTTAAAGTACCTTTTTTTTGAGGGGGGAAAATCATCTAATGACTTCTCCCGCCTGGGTGAGGCGGGAGGGAGTGTAAGACTCTTACTGACTAAAAACCACCGCGTTCCTACTCCTGCACTTCGAGCCGGAGCCCCGGCAACCCGTTAAGTCTTCCGCGGCTCCGTATCGGCATCAGCCTTGTTAGGCCCCATCTTAAAGTACCTACCTATTATATATAATTACTAGCTTCTGCCCGCGACTTCGTACGCGCAATCCCGTTTTCTCCCGTTCCCTTAAGATTTTCAGGATTTTTTTCTATCATAAGAACCTTCTACTGACAAAAACAAACACAACAAAAAAAAATCAGCCAAATCGGTCCAGCCATTCTCAAGTTATGGCGTGACAACGGGAAACGGGTTCCATTTTTATATACATAGATAGGGGAAACAGATTACTAAATAGGATATGCGAAATTTGTATAGGTTTACTATTTGTATTATTTTCAAAAAATTATAACATAGTGCAATAGAATTTAATTAAGTAACCACGTTTCCGAACAAACTTAATTAAGTAACCACGTTTCCGAACAAACGATGCTCTTTTAATATAGTCTATGGCTGTGAATGACGTTGCCATTCGTATAAAAAAAAATTGACATTAGTAACGCGCGTTTTTTAAAATATGCAAAATTAAATGTATACTTTTCAATATTTCTGAGAGATTTTCTTAATATTTTTTTCCGTAAGAACCATCCTTGGACTTCCACAAACATTTAAAAAAAAGAATTATCGAAATCGGTTCAGCCGTTCACACGTGATGCCGTGACAACGCGAAACGGGTTTCATTTTTATATATATAGATGTATTATCTATAAAAATACGTTACGATAGGGAACTGTTCCAAAGCTATTTGCTATATCATTAAAAGTACACTTAGAAGTTGTTGTTTTTTAAAGAAAAAAAGTTAGGATATTCTCCGACGTCGCTCTTACAAAATACTAGATGAAAACTGCATTGAAATTAATGACACTGCATTATTTGAAATTGAACTCTCGCTGTTATAAATAATTTCGTTCGATTCTCCTTTGAAACTTGCCATATTGTTTCTACATCTAATTGGAATTCAACTCATATCGCATAGGTAATCAGGCCACCAGTACCGGCCCCACATAATTTTACTGAACACAAACATTATTCAGCAAGTTTCTGACGAATGTTATGAATGATAGTGTTATGATATGCAATATGCCATCATATATTAAAGCTGATAGGTTTTGATTGAAGTACTTCCACGCGTCTTTGATATAACACAAACTATTGGTAGGTACAATGTAAAAAAAAAAAAGTTGAATAGGAGGAATACTAAAAACATATTTTTTTATAGCTTAAGCCGGTATACAAACAGACGGATCACATGATGGTAAGCAATCGGAGCCGCCCATGGACACTCGAAACACCAAGGCGTTACAAGTGCGTTACCGGCCTTTTGGGAATTGGGAATTTGAGGATTGTGGAGGATTCGGGGAATCGGGAGACGGGGACTAGGGTAATTTGGCCTCCGACATTATTTGAAATAATTTTCTTATGGAAGAATAAGCTGGAACTCTATGACGATAGTTGGCTACGTAAATAACTAAAAGTAAATAAAATTTTAATTTTAGTTACAAATCTATCAAAGTGATTTTTATCGACGTACTTACCTATATCTAACCTTTTTGGAAGTTCATTTCTTAAGCAAAAGCTAAACGAAAGTCTATTTACGTCTATTTACCAAAGAGTCACGAATATCAAGATCATTATCACATATTTTCTAAAACAGGGATCTCTAGTAGACAGTGGCTTTAGCAAAAAATATTTAGATAGAGTTGGGGCACTTCGTAAACATCATTCCGGATGATTGATAGGCGGCGCACACGCGAGCAACTGCTTTATATTCTATTTGTCTTAGGAACTTTACTAACTATACTCAGCTGATGGGAAAAAGGGGGTCTGAGAGCTTAGACGAGTTTCCCATGCTACTCAGTGGAAATTATGATGGTGATTTTTATTTATGTTGCAAGATGTGAGTACTAGTGTTCATATATATGAGAGTTTAAAATAATTTAATTATTACTTACTTACAGTACTTCCTTAAAAAATAGAAATTTAAAAAATGTTAATATGGTGCTTACGTATTTTTTCATCATTTTAAGCCACAGGTAACAAAATGGTGCCGAAATAAATTAATGTAGATAAACACCGCTTCTCTTTTGGGGCATAAATGGAGCGGAATTTAGTTCTTTACAATTTCCAAAACTGCTTTAAGCACCAATTAGAAAATAATCAACCTTTCTTTGAAACGAATAGTCCTTGGGCTATCTTTAAACTATCAAAAACAGCTTGGCAAAAAATGGAATAGCTACCCGTTAGAGGAATAAAGGTAATCGTCATGGTTACTCTGACAAACAATTATAAATAGAATAGAAGATAATATTTTGGTATAAAAGGAATCTAGGTCTTATGTAGGACTGTTAATATAGAAGTAGTAGCGATTTGATGAGTGACCTAATGTTACATGTCACGCGGAATAGATAATACATTTTTCGACATGGAGTACGATGGCCATGCTTCGGCACGACTAAACACGCTCGACTAGAGTAATATTACCACAATCTTAAAGGGTAACCACATATCAATTATAGACAATCAAACTCAATAATTTTCAGTCTGCTAAAATATAAACCAATCTTCAAAATGTTAACATGAATCTACTAAACAAGTGTATCAGACTACAGTGTTGCGGGTCTGGAGTGTGACACAGTGAGCGCGGTATGTAACACTGTTTTTGCGTCGACCCGGGATTCGAACCCAACAACACCAACGCAGCTGCCGGCGGGCGAGTCTAGCGTGCCAACAGTGCCACACGCGCCGCCGTCGCCGATACCACGAATGGAAGAAAGTGCGCGTGAATCACGGCAGAGGGCGCGCTGGGCCCGCAGACTCGAGTAGCCAGTAGCAGCGCGACAGTCGCCGAGTCGCGGGTCGCGAAATGCTCATGAATATTAGCCATGAGCATGGCTTGAAACTAGTCGAGTTCCTCGTCGAATTACTACGTGAGTAAGCCGAAAACATAATAATTTATTTAAGTGTACCCCTAAATAATTTGAAGTTGTATATTTAACTAAACTGAAATGGGACCTGAAACTGACAGACCACCGAATCTGAGCACATTTAGGCATATAGATCTGTCTTACTGTGTACACAAAACAGCTAATTTCGGAGGCCGCGGTTGAAATCTACGGAAACAGGAGCCTTGCCGGCTTGTTCCTGAGATTGTGTCTGCTACGTCCAACTTTAAGCATTGTTAGACTGCGTATAGCTGGCAAAGCTATCAAAGTTTATAACTGTCTAATACAATGCTATATGCAAACGCAGAGAAACTTTGTGCTGAGATATATTACGGTTGAATCGTGTGTGGAATTATAATGAACGATCGATGCAATGGTTGCAGTTGTTGCGTTTTTAACAATGAGAATAATATTTTGTGGTTTGAATATTTTTTCAGTATTTTATTTGGGATATTTGGTAATCTTTTATTGGAACCAATTAGGGCTTTGAATTTTAGTTATTCCTATTTTATACAGAGTTCCATTTTTCTTTGGGAAAGTTTACTGACTAAAAGTGTGATCAATGTTTGTATTTTACGTTGCAGAAGGTCGTACTAATGGCAATAATGGACGATTGATTATTGGTTAAAAATTATTAGTAATACGAACTTTAACAGAATTAGAAGTAAATTAATCAAACATTAGTAGATACTTACTTAAAAGTGAACAAAAAATTATACACGTAAATACGGAAACTATTTACAGTCACCCTATAAATACACTCATAGTGAATTATTACGAATGATGGTGCATTTTTTTCTATGTATCATAATTATGCAATTATAAGTCAGAGTCTAAACTCTGACTGGTCAATGGTCGGGTAGTAGGTAATAGGTCACGAAGTCTTAGATTTATATATTGGGTCAAGAACAGTACCAGAATATTTTGGATTATAAAAACTCTCACACGGATAAGTAACTGAGTACGATATATCGATATAATATATAAACTATAAACTACTGAAAATTAACATAATATGTCAATTTTCAAACGGAGTAGTTTAAAATTTTTGTAGGAAATCGAAAAGTTAGTTACCTATATGTATATAATACCAGTCAAAAATTATTTGTGTAGGTAGATAATACAGTAGATAACAATAAAGTACTACATTAGAGGCATCCTCTGATTACACATGAAAAAAATGCAAGTCATGTTCATCCAAATGACGTAACCGCACATAGATAAGTTTACCCATTCTATAAGTCTAATTGTATTTGTAATCAAATCTTCCGATATCTGTTGAATAACAAGACAAACACAATGAGATAACTAGATAAATGTAGTCGAAATTGACCATATAAATAGTACGCTGACCTTGTCATCGTCAGTTATCAAGTGTGATTTGCTGTGGTGTATCGTGTTGATATTTTTGATAACGTAAAATTTAAAATGTGAGTTATCACTTCTATTTTAAGCCTGTTCTATCTGTTTATGTGTGTTTACAAACAAATTAAATCTGGATAAATACCCTGTGACAGGTTGAGCAATAGCGGATCATTCAGTCGATGTGCCGACAGTTCAGTCGTTTTCTATAATAATACCTAACTTGTCTACTATAAACACGAAAGTAACTGTAGGAAAGAAGAAGAAATTGAAATCTTCGAAAATATATTTTGGGAAAGAAAACAAAACAAAAAAGAATAAAATTAATTTTGCCGATATCCTGCTTCTAAGTAACCATTTTATTTTTAAAGAAAATCTTGATATTTTTTTCCAGATGGGTGTTAAACTATACGCTTTGGATATGAGTCCACCAGTGCGTGCATGCATGATGGCTCTTGGTGTATTTAACGTGCCATTCGAAAAAATACTCGTCAATGTACAAGGTGGTGAACATTTAACTCCAGAATATTTGAAAGTAAGACATATTTAATTGTAGTTTGTATTTTACTGAACTGTATCTCTACCTAATTAATATGATAAAGTTGTTTATTGACTTGATTATACTTCAGCAATAACAATCTGAATCGAAGTTATAGAATCTAATTCTTAATAACCAAAAATAACAATTTTTGAGGACCTAATATTCATTACATAATCAAAGAATCATTTCTGAAGTCTAACGTCTTATTATATTTTTTACAGAAAAATCCTCTTCATACGATACCAGTACTAGAAGATGGTGATATAACTATACATGACAGGTTTGTTGATTTAAATTATATTTACTTAGATGATCAAACTAGCAATCTCAATAATTTTTGTACCACTCAATTTGTTAAAATAAAGTTCTTTACTAACAACTTGATGGAAGAAAGTCATCTCACAAATCAAGGACCCAGCACATTAAAAACACCACAGACCCTTAACCTACATTGATTACACTCCCTTTTTCTCCAAAAACCTCGTCTTATTTTAAGTCTTTGGCATAAATCTCCACAGATGGTTGATAGTTCGTATTCTTATTTTTCAGCCACGCTATCCTAACCTACCTAGCTGACACCTATGGAAAGGACGACTCTTGGTACCCAAAAGATGTCAAAAAGCGAACGTTGGTTAACCAAAAACTATTCTTTAACGCAGGTGTTATGTTCCAGAAATTACGAAACATCACAGTAAGTGTCAATGTCTTCAAGTAACAAAAATAATAGTCTTCAATGCAAATTATTATGAGCAACAATTTAAAGAAAAAAAGTTACAAAAAGTAGACAAGACTTCAATTTTCCGAAATTGGATGCCATTTTCTACTAGATATCTTACCTAACATATGTCAAACTGTATTATTCTTTACAGTACAATATCGTGTTAAAAGGAAAGAAGACCATAGAACCGGAATTGTTAGACGGTGTCACAGAAGGCTACGAGTTCATGGAAGCGTTCCTGTCCCGGTCAAAGTATATCGCTGGAGACCATGTTACAATCGCTGATATAGCAATTTTGAGTACTGTGTCAACCCAAGATCTTATCCTACCAATAGACGCCCAAAAGTAAGTAAAAATGCTTCCTTCCTTCTTCGTCTTCTTTTCACTACTGAGAACGTGATTCCGTAGACTGTCAATGGCAGAACTCTATCGCTGACAATCAGAGCTTCATTGTACCGGTTATTCAAAGTTGCCTTTCCTGAACCTCACAGAACCTCTGGTTACCAAATATCTTGATGTTTATATGAGTATCTGGTCTGACCATCTCCACCTACGGTAGCTTGATTTTGTATTCTCAGCCTGTTCCATCATGGTCAGCCAAGCGAGACTATTGTTGTTCTAGGGACAAATGTTTCAAGGTCTTTTACAGATTCAACAAAATTTTGTCAACAAAGAATCTGTATAGTTTACCATTTGTGTACTTTTGAAAACGTTACGTTTTCATCGTCCTTTTTTAAGTGTTTTGTTGGTCTTCTATAATGGTTTGGAATATTATTTTCTTTTTCAGGTATCCAAAATTGAAAGCCTGGTTAGAAGAATTGAAAGCGACGCCATATTGTAAGAAATATAATGAAGAAGGTGCGAACGCTTTGGGGGCGTATGTGAAAAAGAGTGTCTCTTCTTAATTCTTAATTCTTAACAGAAACAATATTCAAAAGGATGTTTGAATACTATTTAAATTATTAATAATAATTAAATTAATTGTAATTAGTGATCTGGTTGATTGATGTGACGACTAATAATTGTTATATCTCAATCTATGATAAAAATCTGAAATAAATAAAGAGAAATATAAACTGTTTTGTTTTAATTTCATTATTGGCACAAAAAATTGATGTGTCCAAATAAGATAGGACGTTCAAAAATAACTTTTTACTGGTTAAACAAACATGTAGGGTTCTATATGTAGTCAACATTGATTTTGAGCAAAGTAAACTAAAAAAACAACTCAATATAAATCAAGGTCGCACAGTTGATAACTGCATAGAAACACCTCGTTGGTCGAATGACTAAGCAAAAAGCTAATACATTCATAACAGAAAAAAAAACTACCGATGACAACGAATAATTATGGTGGACTTTGTAACGATGATTCTTACCCGCATGACATAATTATTAAATCCGTACCACAACATATACGTATCTCATCACAATCAATGATATTTCATCAACACCACTGGGGAGGTCTTTTTTTTTTTAAGGGGGGAAAATCATCGAATGACTGCTCCCGCCTGGGTGAGGCGGAAGGGAGTGTCAGACTCTTACTGACTAAAAACCACCCCGTTCCTTCTCCTGCCAGCCCCGGTTACCCGTTAGGTTCTCCGCGACTCCGAATCGGCATCGGCCCTATTGGGCCCCATCTGCGGTGGTCTGATGGCTCTTTGAGGCGCGCGCGGAACGCGACGCGCCGTACGCTCGGGTCTGTTTCTGGTCGGACGGGGAGCCACCCATGCTCGCCGTCCGCAGGCCCGCGCTTACGGTGGCCGGAGATCGTCCCGCGATCCCCGACGCCCGGTGTGTCCTTCGCGATGGCTGGGATGCGAGGAGGCCTAGAGGTCTAGTGTTACATGCTTGCGCAATTTCTTGAAATTTTACGTAACTATTATGGCTGATCCGGCAAAATTTTGCTGATATTTTTTTACTCACATTTTAAACCTTCCCTTGTTTGGACTTTCAGAAATATTACAAGATATAAATTAGTCAAATCGGTTCAGTCATTCTCGATTATCTACATAACACTACGCCTTTTATCCCCGAGGTGATAGGCAGAGGTGCACATTAGAGCACTTAATGTACAATGTAACAGCCACTTTACACTATTTATGTTATTAGTCCCATGTAATAGGAGGTGAGCATATTGCCATATACCGGGCATGATTCCAGACTCCGTGCTACCACTGAGATTTTTTTTTTAAACTCAGTACTACTTTGCCCAACCTGGAAATCGAACTCAAGACCCCTTGCCAGGCAGTCGCACTTGCAACCACTCGCTCAACGAGGCAGTCAACGATTTTGCTTCAGTACTACTAATCTTACATAACTCAAACTTGGATAAATGTCCGCCCATATCAGGTTGTTAGCAAAATAACAACATAAACTATCGTGCCAGCCCATAGCTGTTCACAAAGGACCGATGCCATAAACTGAGACAGACACGGTCTCAAGATGTTGATACAATGAGTACTACAATGGACATGTGGGCAAGTTGTGTGTTGAATGGTAACCGAAGTTACTCCGGTGCCTTGTTGCACGTCCCTAACTTTCTTCGTAGTTACATTACTAACTAAACACCTGGTTTACCTTGAATATCTACACTTCTATAGAAATTCGTTTTATAGACATATAGGAGATGTTGAGTCGATTTAATTAATGTTTTTTCTACAAACTGAAGTAAAAGACATATTTATTTTTATTTTTTTTAAACCTTACCTAGAATTATCATTACAGTTTTCTCCATTGCGATAGTTTAGGTCTAAAACAAAATCTATATTACACAATATGTCCAAAGTAAGGAGGGATTGCTTCTCATAGGCTGTATTTTGCTCTTGAGAAGCAAGAAGAGAGAAAATAACCTTGTGAAAAGTGAGTGTTACATTGACTGTACCAACCTATCTTTGATCCTTCGGCAAATAAAAAGTGTCTATAGTTTGTCTATTTAAGAATGACGACGAATGTTTGAGGAACTAACAAACTTGAAACTATGGAAACAACGCAACGCCCAATGAAAGTAGGTAGGTACGTTGTCATCAGCTGTGATCGAGTTTGTTTCGCGTGTCGTTTTTTGTTAAAAAGGTACTAGATTGCAATTAAGGTGAACAAACCTTAAAAGAAGTTTACTAAACAATCAAAAGAATAATTCGAAGTAGAGCTCGACTGATTGTATTTCGAGTATAAAGTGATTTTCAATAGTACAAGAAGCTGGACAAATTTTATGAAACTAAGATTAAGTTTTCACTCAAACAGTGAAATTCACTGTTCGACAGGTAGAAATCGTATAATTTTATCTGCTAGAAGTGAAAATAAATAATTTCATGACTAAAATAAGAAATGCATATTTATTTATAGGTTAGTTTTAGATTTTATTTGGATAGTGGGTACTATCAACCTGTGGCGCCCTCATTGCCTCATTGCTTTTCATGAATAAATAGACCAACTGTATGTACATGTACTCTCCCAAGAACAAGTATAAACTTGTTCGGTTAGGCTGAGTATAACACGATATGTGCCTGATAGATAAAAAGTCCTTGTATAAATGGCTTACTGATCTTATCTTGATCAGTAATAAGAAAAAACTTGCAGTAGTGTGTTGTGTTTTTGCGTATCGCGTAATATTTACACAGAAATAAATACAAAATGTGAGTAACGTACATACAGGTGTATTTATAACTTTCATATTTTGACTGGAGGATGTTTACGCAATATTTTTTCATTATCTAACTGACGGACTAATTAGATTTTTAATTTTGAAACCCTGGAAACTACCCAATTGTTGCAGGCAAAGTTAAACAAATTAAGAGATTAAAATTCAATATTTCCGTTTTAAAATTTCTTATACATAGAAACAAGACGAAGATAAAATGTGTGTTTTTCTATAGATGGGTGTCAAACTGTACGCTATGGACTTCAGTCCACCGTCACGAGCTTGTATGATGGCATGTGAGATCTTTGGCGTACCATTTGAGAAGATCCCAGTCAATCTATTTAACAATGAACATCTCACTCCAGAGTTCTTAGAGGTAATATTTACTTTGATTTAAGAATATGATATACTTAATGATATTAAGTTTCAATGCAAAATATTTGTTCATCTTTTCAAAATGTTTGATGAAATAAATATTAAGTACAAGACGCAGCTCAGGAACTAACGTTATTGATTTGTTTAATTTTTTTTGAAATATCCAATATATTATTTTTTTACAGAAAAACCCTCTCCACACAATCCCTGTATTAGAAGATGGTGACTTAATATTATACGATAGGTCAGTAGTTCACATTTAAACACATTTTAACGACCTGTTTATTATTTCTTGAATTTTTCAATTTATTTTTTTAGCCACGCGATACTGGCCTACTTAGCTGACACCTATGCAAAAGATGAGTCTTGGTATCCAAAAGACGTCAAAAAACGAGCTCTAGTTAGCCAAAAACTGTTCTTCAATGTAGCTATTATATTTCGTAGATTACGAATCATATCAGTAAGTATACACTCTTTGAATATTCATTGTCTTTACAACAATATAAATAAGCAAAGGCATTGATAAGTAATAAAAAAAGCAGCATAAAAGGGTTCAATTAAAGATGTTTCACACCCAGAAGGACCTAATTTATATTATATCTTTCACAGTATTATGTAATACAGAAAGGAAGAAAGACTTTAGAACAAGATTGGTTGGATGATATTGTTGAAGCCTATGGATTTCTGGAAGCATTTTTATCCAAAACGAAATACATCGCTGCAGATCACATCACGATTGCTGATTTAGCAATTTTGAGCTTTCTAACTACTCTCGAATATATTCTACCTGTTGATGCTAAAAAGTAAGTAATGGTATCTTATGCCTAACTCTATTAAACCTTTGAATGACGACAGAAAACGGTTAAAGGCACATCTTCCCCTAAAGTATGTCACCTTTAATATACGCGGTGGTTAACGTGTTAATAGATGTTATGAGACTAGGAATCCTCCACAATTCCCAAAAGGCCGGTAACGCACTTGTAACGCCTTAGTGTTTCGGGTGTCTATGGGCGGCGTCGATTGCTTACCATCAGGTGATCCGTCTGCTCGGTTACCGGCTTGTGCTATAAAAAAAGGAAGTTAAATTGTTCATAATATTATTATATGTATTATGTACCAATACTCTATATTTCTAAGATTAAAATATATAAGAGTACATCTTACAATCTAAGAATGATATTACATTCAAGGTCATTTGTATATTCTGCAAAGGGGAACATAAATTGGTTTAGTGTTTCACTAAAATGTTTCCTTCCTCCTTGGTCTACAATAAAGAGGAGGTCCCCCTATTTGTATAACTTAATGCTAAATCTATACAGATAAATAAAATTGGAGTATCAGTTTGTAATATTAAAATAACCGCTTTTTACTACATGCATATAAATATACATACGATACATATAGCAAAATAACATATTTTACAATTTTTGTCTGTCTGTCTGTTTGTACTGGCTGATCTCTGGAATGGCTGGACCGATTTTGCAAGACTTATATTGGCAGATAGCTAATGTACTAAGGAGCAGCATAGGCTCCATTTTTTGAAAAATTGAAACAAAAGTAGTTATTTGTTAAAATTCATATTCTATGGCGACGAAGTCTCGGGCAACAGCTAGGTAGTTCAATACAAACCAAATATAGATTAAATAAAGGTTAAATTAAATTACTTGACTAAGAATTAAATAAATTTTTTGTTTCAGGTATCCTAAAACGTCTGCCTGGTTAGAAGATTTCAAAGCGAAGCCATATGCTAAGAAATATAATGAAGAAGGTGCCAAGATCCTGTTCAATTATATTAATGACCATTTAACTTCATAATAACTATGCTATTAAAGTTTGATTTATATTTTAATTGTATTTACTACCCGTTATTACTACCTAACTACCTTTATGAAATCTGGGTCTATATATTGAAATAAAACCCTTTTGCAATTTTCCATTGACAAATTCTGGTGTACCTACATTAAACAATCAATAAAGAAATATACTTATTGAAGGGCCAATTGCCAGTAGTTAGAGCCTACATCCAATTCTGTCATCACATTCAAAACAGTGTCAATAAAGTGTGTTAAATAATCTACTAATAACATAATAATATGGTAATTTTTTAATGAGATGATGAAAAAACCTCTTACTTCCCGAATGCGGAGATACTGTTTCTAACTCATCAACATTATCGTCAACGGCCCGTGATATTCTACCGCTGAGTCATAGGGCTTCTCAACATATTAATACACTCATTCTCCACAATCCTCAAATTCCCAATTCCCAAAAGGCCGGTAACCCACTTGTAACGCCTTGGTGTTCCAGGTGTCCATGGGCGACGCCGATTGCTCATCAGGCATTGCTCATTATTAATAATAATAATAAGACGAGTTTTCCACAATACCTATATTATGCTAGAGCATTGGAAATCACAGTTTGAGGTTTAAGTTCATCAAGGAACGATTCTGCCCAGTCGCAGCCTTCAGTCCAATGTGTAACACCCTTAATCAGCTGTAATGATACCCATGACGAGAATAGGGAAGATGAAGTTTTTGCAGTTGCCGTCACAATGCAAAAAAACAGTTGAATTCAAGATCGATTAACAAAATATCTATATAGTAATAGGGATGACGACAGGGTATGAAAATTAAAAATCTAATTAGTCCGTCAGTTAAGTGATGAAAAAATATTAGACACATATTTTTATATTTTGATGTATAAGAAAACAATACTTAGATAAATAGCATCAAAGTTTAGGAGTGGGAGCTAGCTACGTCACTTTTACGTATAAAACGTACATAGAAGTGACGTCACGCGACATTTCAAATCAATATATCGTTGAAAGTATTTGTTTCTGTAAGAAAATAAAAAATACGTGTGTAATGTTTTATAATAATCTACCAGACGGACATTGAAATAAAAATTAGTCGTCTACCCTATCCCAACATATCCAACTCATTTCATGGCTTTAAATACCCATAAACTTTAGAAAACACTAAAAGCATACGATACAACCCTTCTAAAACAAATAAAGTAAGTTTATTTTTGTAGAGGTATTGTTCGGATTAAGTTAAGACGTATCGCATACCTATCATATTTTTATTATTATTGTCCAAAGACAATGCGATAGGTATGCCTAATACGAATAGATAAAAAATTGAATCTTCTGTTTATATAAACGGCATCCTGACCTTGTCTAGATCAGTAATCAAGAGAGGCGGGCAGCGGCGTGTACTGTGTCGTGTTTTACATATTGCGTAATATTTACACCGAAATAAATACAAATGTAAGTATTTTCTAGTCTTATCGTATTTTTTTTTTAAATAATAATTAAACTGTTTTCAGACGTAGTCCATATTTGTTAGTAATATACAAACAACAATGAGAAATAAAATAGTAACATACAAATAAATAAATAAGGTACAATATTCTTAGCATAATGTTAGATATACATAATTATAATAGTTAAATCAGGCGCTTGTTCCCGCATGTTGGCCTATCCAGTGCGTCACAACAGCACCGAGGCCCAGCGGCCGGCATCCAAGGCCAAATATTTTTTTGTTGAAAGAAGATTGTTGATGTCGAATGTTTTGTATGTAAAAAAAATATACATAAGTATCATCGATATCATTCATGTTACCACATAATAATTTTGTTACGCTTACTCACCCAGAAGTTGCTTAGTTAATTCATTAGTTTAAGTGTAGGAGAGCCATGCTTCGGCACGAATGGGCCGGCTCGACCGGAGTGATACCACGGCCTCACAGAAAACCGACGTGAAGCAACGCTTGCGTTGTGTTTCGTCTTGTGAGTGAGGTTACCGGAGGCCCAATTACCTTCCCCTTTCCCAAACTCCCCAATCCCTGAATTCCCAACGATCCTCAAACTCCTAATCCCCAAAAAGCCGGTTTCGCACTTGTAACGCCTCTGGTGTTCCAGGTGTCCATGGGCGACGCCGATTGCTTACCATCAGGTGATCCGTCTGCTCGTTTACGGGCTTATGCCATAAAAAAAAAGTTGAACTGTTCTGATATGCTCAGGGTATAATCTTCTGAGAAAATTCAGAACTCTGGTCTTTGTATCTAGCTTCAATTTAATAGAGACTGAGAAAAGAACTCTTTTATAAACCTGAAACTTCCTAATAAAAACTGTGACCTTGTCTGAAAAAAGTGGAGAAAATTGCTCTTATGTAAGCCTATACCTAGTCCAGCAGTGATCTACTATGGGCTGTTGTTGATAATGAATTATGCAACTGGTAAAACAACCTAATTGCAATGGAAATAGTACTGTATTTCCAAAAATGTCAGTTATGAAATCGCTTATTTCGTAGCTTCAAAGATTAAAACATTGACGTATAAATCATGACGTATTTATGATAAATTGTTTCATATAATTTCATCACTCCATTCTTACACGTAGTAGTATTATATACCTCATATAGTATAATATTAGTAGCACTGAGTCTGGAATTGTGCCCGGCATATGGCAATAGGCTCACCCCCCTATTACATGGGACTCATAACATAAATAGTGAAAAGTTGGTGTTACATTGTACAGTGGCATAATGTGCACCTCTGCTTACCCCTTCGGGGATAAAAGGCGTAATGTTATGTTATGTATGTTCCATTCTTACATTTTCTATTTGTTCAAATTCACTGATAAAAGCGTATGTTTTTCTCCAGATGGGTGTGAAACTGTACGTCATGGACTTTAGTCCACCGTCACGAGCATGCATGTTGACTTGTGAGATCTTCGGCATACCATTCGAAAAGATTCCAGTCGACTTATTTAAAGGTGAACATCTTGCTCCCGAGTATTTACAGGTAAACGAAATATTTATGGCATTATTAATTATTATTCAGGATATACTATTCAGATACCTGAACGAGGTAGATCTTAATAAATTATTATGTTTTCGGCTTACTCCCGTAATAATTTGACGAGGATCTCGACTAGTTTCAAGCCATGCTAGAGGCTCATATTCATGAGCAGCATTTCGCGACCCGCGACGCGGCGACTTTTAAGCCGAAAACATAATAATTTATTTAGTATGTCTCACGAAGGTTACAATACAGAGGTAGATCTCGTTGATACAGAGACAACATTGTTAAGAACAGTACAATTAGTAAATGGTTTCATTATATTTACATGAATAAATGTATTTGTTTTACAGAAAAACCCCCTCCACACGATTCCTGTTCTAGAAGATGGTGACTTCATATTATACGATAGGTATGTTCACTTGCATAACTGCCAACCTGTTCATAAGTTGAGACTTTTTTTTAATGGGACAAACCCGCCATACCCTTCAAAACCGCTGCAACTCCTGTAAGCAAGGATCTACAGTAGATAAACACACTAAAGTCCAGCGCGTCACTGGGAAATAAATAACTATCTTGGTTCCCGCAGCGAAATATATCAGAAGATATTATTAGAGGAGAAGAAAAAAAAACGATAGTTTCCACTTCCTTCGGTGAATTTCTGCAGGAGACCGAATGAATTAAGCCTAAAAGAACATAAGTTAGGACTGCCAACTGGACTGTGATTTTTTAAATGAAATATAATGTACTAATGTGTGTAGGCCTGATACAGTTAGAACAGAAACATTTTCTGATGTCTCCTTTATTTCAGCCACGCAATAATGGCCTACCTAGCTGATACCTATGGAAAAGATGAGTCTTGGTATCCAAAAGACGTCAAGAAACGAGCACTAGTTAACCAAAAACTGTTCTTCAATACAGCTGTTATTTATCGTAGATTAAGAAATATCACAGTAAGTACCGTGAAGATAATACTTTTTCAACATACAATGTCTCTTTTCTTTAGATGCAAGTCCATATTGTAAAGGGATCTTATAGATTTGCATTTTAAAATTTTGTCAGTAGAACGTACCTGGTCCATCATAATAATCATAACCTTTGGGAAACATAGCAATAGAGAAGTGACCAAATTATATATTGTAAGTACAATATAGTAAATGTGTACCTAAAAAAGTTGAATTCAATAATGATTTTAATCCTACTAATATTATAAATGCGAATGTTTGTTTGTTTGACTTCACAACGGCTGAAAGATTCGAGATGAAATTTGGAACAGGGTTAGATTATGGTTTGGAATTACACATCGACCATTTTTTATCCCACGAGACCGAGGGCGAAGCCTCTGGCAGAAGCTAGTTATTAAAAATGTAACTTATTTTTTCACAGTATTATGTATTCCAAAGAGGAAGAAAGACTCTAGAACAGGACTGGTTAGATGACATTGCTGAAGGCTACGATTTCCTGGAAGCATTCTTGTCTAAAACGAAATATATCGCTGGAGACCATATCACGATTGCTGATATAGCAATTTTGAGTCATCTCACCAATCTCGAATATATTTTACCTATTGATGCTAAAAAGTAAGTAAGATGGGACTTATCCTTTCTCACATAACAATTAGTCATGAAATCTAAAAATTATTTACATAAAAAAATACATGCAAACTAGTCCTTTGACAGTACGTTACTAGTTTGTTCTACGTTTAAAGTAATTGATACGAGACCGCGTTCAGCATTGTGATTGGTTGGTTCATTGGAGTAAGCCAATCAGGCCGCTCTGTCCTGTATTCCCTTGTGGAATTAAAAGGTGTGCAATTGAGTGTTTCACACTCAAGGTCATGTATATCTTCTGCAAAGAGGGTCCTAAGTTGATTTAAATTTTTTTGATTAATATGTTTTCTTCTTTATTGTTTCCTATTTGTAAGGCCCCATCACGTACATTATTCGCCCATAATGCTGAGTTCTGTTTGAATTTAAAAAGGTTTGTTATATCAAGATTTAAAAATATGATCTTTTGTTTCAGATATCCTAAAACATCTGCCTGGTTAGAAGATTTCAAAGCGACGCCATATGCTAAGAAACATAATGAAGAAGGTGCAAAGGCTCTGAATGATCTTCTTAAGAAATTTTTAACTTCCTGAAATTATTAAAACGGAAATATAAAGTGTTGACTTGTAATTAAAATATCCTCGCACTGTGCCTATTTTAAATCTGTGTCTTATTCCGTACGTATAAATATATAAATAATAAGAATAAATAAATAAAACTTAAGTAATATTTTGTTTTATTTCTGTAAAAAAGTCGTTTTATGATTGTTGTAAAGTTATGAAGTTCAAGTAGGTTTAGTAGGTTCATAGAAATGTTTTAAGAAACTCCTTTTTGAAATAATTAGATTTGCCTAATGAAACAATAGATCGTGTGATCTCTCTCATGTTATCGTAGTATGATAACCATACTACCAAACTGATTACACATTCCAAATAATTTAGCGCAAACTATCTCTGAGCATGAATTTATCCGTCAACTACATGTTGCCCATGACTTCGTCCGCGTAGAATATGATTCCTGTTTATCCTATCATCTAAGTCAGCCCATACCCAGCCTGTATACCAATGTATACCAATTTATTATTTTTTTAATTTCATCAAAATCCGTTCAGAAGTTTCAGAGTGATTGACGAACAAACATCCAAAGACAAAAAAACACAACACAACATCACGCGTTTTATCCCCGAAGGGGTAGGCAGAGATGCACATCACGTCACTGTACAATGTAGCACCCACCTTTGTTGTTTAAAGTGCCATGTGATAGGGGCTGAGCCTATTGCCCTATACACAATTCCAGACTCCGTGATACTACTGAGATTTTTTTTAAAACCCAGTAAGTCTTTGCCCGTCTCGAGAATCAAACCCGAGACACCTTGCCCGACAGTCGCATTTGCGACCACTCGGCCATCGAGACTGTCAAATAAACAAACTTTTACATTTATAATATTAGTGTGATTGCTGACGGACATCCAGAGATGCCAGAAGTTAGAGACCACGTCTAACGGTCAAAATTAATAAACAAGATCTAAATTAAAAAATTTTGACATCACTCTTTGCTTTTTAAACATTATTGCTGATATGCTTGAAGTTTGTTAATACGTATGAATGGGACAAATGTATTCTACTCAAATTGTCGTTACATCATAGCTATTTTAACAAAAATTTAAGTCAAGGTCAATCCACAAAGCGTCTATCTAGCCAATTCACGTTGGTCAAATGATTTGGCAAAACTATTCCGCAGTGTGGTATATATAATTATGTATTTTACTGATAAAAAATCTGTCTATCTGTAATGACTTGGCAAATTATATCAACTCGTTATTGGAGTTTGTACGAGTGATCACTTGGTGTTTTGGTATTTTATTTACATAATAACCTAACGCCTTTTATTTCTCGAACGGCTATTGAGAGATACAAATATAAGGCCCAATATTTTTTATGGCATAAGCCGGTAAACTAGCAGACGGATCACCTCATGGTAAGCAATCGGCGTCGCCCATGGACACCTGGAACACCAGAGGCGTTACAAGTACGTTACCGGTCTTTTGGGGATTAGGAGTTTGAGGATCGTTGGGGATTCAGGATTTGGGGAGATTGGGGAAGGGGAGGGTAATATTGGGCCTCCAGTAACCTCACTCACACGACGAAACACAACGCAAGCGTTGCTTCACTTCGGTTTTCTGTGAGACTGTGGTATCACTCCGGTCGAGCCGGCTCATTCATGCCGAAGCATGGCTCCCCCACACTTATCTTATTTTGACCAGTTATGTCGTAATGTCTCCGAAAAAGAGGTCAAGCTATTATAATACACTGCTAGACTGGGAAAAAATATTGAATGCTATTTTGAAAAATCTAAATGTTCCTAATATTTGTATATAGACAGATTTTTAAGGTAATGGAACTCAAGTCAAGTTGCTATGAGTTGGACTGACACAGGTGGTTCTGTACGTTTAAAAACAAACTAGATCATATATCCTTTTTAAACGTTTATTATATTCGGTTTTAGCTAGGTGATTATTATCTTACAGCTGATTTGAGCTATTTCTTATACATCATTTCCTAAATCAAAACATAAAAGCAAGATAACACTAGATTAGTATTTGGGATCGTGTATAAAAATAGTACATTTGCCTCGGCTTTATCAGTCACTGATTGAGACGTACTAAGGCGTGTCGTGTCGTATCTGTGTGTAACGTAGTCGTAATTTGCGTTTCAAAAACGTAAGTGTTTTACAACTAACTAGCATGATTTATAATTTTTTATCAAATAATTGCACACTAAATTTGCTAATTAAATAATTCATTTTACTATACTGTTAGATCTATAAAGCCTAACTGTTTTACTGAATGACTATCTTTTAACTAAAGTAAATCTAATAATTCTTCGAGTGCAACAAAATATATAAAAACAACAACAAAAAAAAACAAACCTAAACTAACCTAATATTGAACAATTAGTATGCAAATCAGTATTTTTCTTTTACGGTTTATTTTTTTGATATGCAGTAGGTTATTAGTGGGTAAATTTAGTTTGCTTAAATTTCTAAATAGAGTAGAGAGGGTAAAAAATTCCCCTTTTTCTAATGCCCATAACATAACATAACATCACGCCTTTTATTCCCGAAGGGGTAGGCAGAGGTATACATTATACATTACGCAATGTACAATGTAACACCCACTTTTCACTATTTATGTTATGAGTCCCATGTAATAGGGGGTGAGCCTATTGCCATATACCGGGCACAATTCCAGACTCCGTGCTACTACTGAGAATTTTTTTTAAACCCAGTAATACTTTGCCCGACCCGGGAATCGAACCCGAGACCCCTTACCCGGCAGTCGCACTTTCGACCGCTCGGCCAACGAGGCAGTCCATTTCTAATGCCCATTTCTGTTTTATTTACTTTGCAATCATATCACAGTGATCTCTCTTAATTTATGATAACATGGACACGAAATGAGAATTAGATACGTAGGTACCGACATACTTATTTCCTATTAATTCAGAACTATGCTTCGATGATAATGAAATTGCATGTTTGTTAAAAATTATTAGGGTTTGATTTGGAATCAAAGTGCCACTTAATTTGTTTTAGTTTTAAGTATTTACTATAGTAAAAAGTGTTTCCGTGTAAATCTTGCTTTGTACTATCGGCAAAGTTTACACACAATAGTACGTTTTAGACAAAAATTTTTTTTTTTCTCGATTTAAAATGAAATGAAACCTTTATTTGTGATACATAGGTTGGTATTTTTTTTTGTGGCAAACTCCGCTCTGTTTTCTCTATGGTCGCTTGGGCCGTGCATGCGAATAAAGTCGAATGATAGTCGACCGCCAATTTTTTCAATTGTACCTTTAATTAATAAAAATAATAATATTAATTTGTTTCTTTCACTATCACTATTAACAATACACAGCAAATAATTTTATAAATCAACCTGAAACTGTCTGTTGTAGTTAAGACCTGTGTCACAAATCACCAATTTTTTTATTATCGTGTGTTCTTTATTGTGTAATGCAAATTATCTATCTAATAATCACATCTTTACTATCACAATCAAAGTACAAGATAAAAATAAACACCAATTTTACGAATTACTTTATTAAAAATATGCAAATTTTTATCTTTCGTTAATTAGTAATCAACGGAGACGTGACCAGATGATCAAACATGTACACAAACACAACACGATTTGGCAGCTTGTTGTGTTTGTGTATTTGGCCATTTGAAAAGTGAACGTAATTATTTATTCCTTTAAAACAATCCTAGCATTATTAAGTAAGCCAGTGTCAGTAACACGGGAAAATTTTAAATAATTCATTTGTAGGTGTAATCGCAATTTAAATAAAATTCCTGGAATATACAACGCCTGCAACCTGCAACACATGCATATTGTCGACTTTGTTTTTTGTTATTTTTAATTAGATATTTCTAATTTTGAATTTTACTTGAAAATTTTATATCTTTCTCCTCAGATGGTTGTCAAACTGTACGTTATGGACTTCAGCCCACCAGTGCGTGCGTGCTTGATGGCTTGTGAGGTCTTGAACGCTCCATATGAGAGGGTCGAACTTGACTTATATAAACGTGAAAATCATACTCCAGAATATTTAGCGGTAGGTAACCATTCCCCAATGATATTAATAAAAATATTGTAGATAGGTTACAAGCGCTCAGAAAATGGGACGTTAAAATATGGGTAATTGGCCACATTTTACCTCAGTGTTGCGTTGCGCTGTTAACATATTCATGTGTACATTATTGTGTCGTTTTCGAAGATCGAATGAAATCTTTTTCTTATAATATTTCTTTTTTTACTTGCAATTTCTCTAATGTAGCAGGGTCCATGGGTGGCGTTGATTACTTAGTATTAGGCGATCTGTCTGACCATTTGCGCTCATTACATTAAAAATGTTTTATATTAAATTAACTAAAATCGCGGGTTACTCACGTGAATATACTGAGAAAAGCTCTACTAGTTTCGAACCACAGAGGGGTTCTTCCTCGTGAGCAGCGCGCGATATTGCGGCGATGTCGAGACCGCGACTAGTAGAGCTTTTCTTAGTATATTCACGTGAGTATCCCGCGATTATAGTTAATTTAGTATGTCTCACGATAGTTATTATAAAAATAAGTTTTATATTTCTCAAATATTGTTACTTTTTACAGAAAAATCCTATGCACACAATCCCTGTTATGGAGGATGGAGATTTAATCTTACGTGACAGGTTTGTTTTATTAAATTTAATTGCTAATTTAATTTATATGCATTTAGCTATTTACAAGGCACATGTGTATACACTAGATTTAAACACATACGTACCACGTTTACTGAATCATAAAATGTGGTTATCAGCAGGGCCGTCATAGATAATGCTGGAGCCCTTGGACAAAAAAAATCAGGGCCTTTTTGAAATATTCTTTTTTACACGAAGCAACAAACTTCACAATGTGGTGCACACAACGATATGCTTCGTGCTCCGTGCTCCGTGCCGGTTGCTGTGCAATTTGTAGCTAGTGTGTGTTCGTCGTAGAAATTTTCAGTCCTTCGGGCCGCCCTGAGTATGTGGTCCCTGGGCACGGGCCCCGAGTGCCTGGTTATCAGTTTTTTTTATACATCGGATTATCAAAATCAACATAATTGTTTAATGTATCTCGTTCTCATTTCCAGCCACGCAATCATGGCTTACTTATCTGACACCTACGCTAAAGACGACTCCTGGTATCCAAAAGACGTTAAGAAACGTGCGGCTGTCAATGACAAACTATTCTTCAATGCATTTGTCGTTTTTAGTAAATTACGCGTTGTCACTGTAAGTATTACCTTATTGATAATGTTGTATTTATTCTGATATTATTTTATTGTTCGAAAACAACAAGTTTAACAGCTCCCACCTAGGTGAGTTTAGCTAGGCGACTGGGCTTGTCCCAGTTGTGCAGTCTCTTTATGTGCCTTTAGGCTTAATCCGTCTCCTGCTGTAATTTACCGAGAGAAGTGGAAACTAACTTTTTTTTATTCTCCTCTAATAATATCTTTTATTTCGTTGCGGGATCCAAGACAGTCATTCATGACCCTGCCCGTGCCGGACTTCAGTGTTTCGGTGTTTTTATGGTAATGTCTACTGCAGATCCTGACTTACAGGAGTTGCAGCGGCTTGGGAGGTTGTGGCGGGCTTGTCCGTTCGAAAAATTAGGTCCACAGCCTTAAATAAACTTTTGAATATACTAGACAACCTCCTGTCTGTTGGTTGAAACACTGGCTCCCGGTATAAATATATTATGGGCGCAACTTTCAACAGACAAGGTGGTAATTTAATTAAAAATACCTAGATAATAAAATATTGTTTCTTTTATGAACATATTTTTATACTATAACATCTATTCTTTTATCTGCTTATGTTTTTTTTCACAGTATTACGTTCTACAAAAAGGATACAAGAAATTAGAACAAGAATGGTTGGATCGCATCGAGGAAGCGTACAGTTTCATAGAAGCATTTCTGTCTAAAACTGTGTACATTGCCGGAGATGATATCTCCATCGCAGATTTGGCACTTTTCAGTAATGTGTCTTCTCTAGAGCACATGCAACCTATTGACACTAAAAAGTAAGATTAAATGTTTACATTTATTGACCATTTTATTTTCATCACTACATAGTATAAAACAAAATCGCTATCCGCCGCCTGTCTGTCCCTATGTATGCTTAGATCTTTAAAACTACGCAACGGATTTTGATTCGATTTTTTTAAATGAATAGTTTAAAACGTGCTAAGCCGGGGCGGGTCGCTAGTCATTATTATACTTCTTTTATTTACTTCGTTGCAAATTTTTTTCATTTTTGTTGTTGAATTTTATTTTTTTTATACTAACCTCGAGACTATAACGAACTTGTGAAGTAAAGAATTATTATATGTTTTGGTTAGTACTGTCGTTCTCAAGTTATGCGCGTAGAAGTACATTTCATTTATTATTTTTTATTAGTGTGGTGTGATAACTATGTTTTTACTTTAATTTTTGTTTACCAGAAATACTAAAAAACCAAAATCATCATCATCATTATCACGCCTTTTATCCCCGAAAGGGTAGGCAGAGATGCACGGCCTACGGTACTCATGCCACTGAACAATGTAACACCCACTTTTCACTATGTCATATAGGTACCGGACACTACACTAAAGTACATTTTTTTTTCAGATTCCCTAAAACGATCGCCTGGTTGGACAAAATGAAAGCAAAGCCATATTCTAAGAAACACAACGAAAAAGGTGTTAAAGACCTGGATAAATACATTAAGGATTGTATCGAGTAATATTTTTAACAAACGTTGTATTATAGCCAAATATGACAGGTTTAATTAATAAATTCATTAATTTTAATCTGCTCTTTTATTTACTACTAGCTTTTACCCGCGGCTTCGCTCGCATCACAAAAGTATAAAAAGTAGCCTATGTGACATATACCAATACACCATCTATACCAATAATTTCTTTTTCCCTCGAGAATATCATTTTTTCCGGGATAAAAAGTACCCTATTATTTAATCCAGACTTCTAACTTTACGTCTGCAAAAATTCAAAGTAAGGGTTAGTAGAAACAAAGTCACTTTCCGATTTATAATATTAGTAAGGATCAATAATCTATGTATACAGATAAATAAAATTGGAGTGTCTGTATTGTAATATTAAATAACCACTTTATGTATGTAGCATATGAATACATACGATACACATATTAAAATAACATTTCCTACAATTTTTTGTCCGTCTGTCTGTTTGTACTGGCTCTTCTCAGGAATGGCTGCACCAATTAAGCGAAACTTTTAATAGCAGGTACCTGATGTACTAAGGAGTAGGTAACATAGAAAACTTTTATTTTGAAAATTTTGAAACAAAAAAATAAGTTATGTTCTAAAATTCATATTCGACGCGGACAAAGTCGCAAGCAAGAGTTAGTTTAATCTTTTGTTTTTCTAATCATCACTACATAGTATAAAACAAAGTAGCTATCCACCGTCTGTCTGTCCCTATGTATGCTTAGATCTTTAAAACTACGCAACGGATTATGATGCGGTTTTTTTAATAGATGGAGTTTATATATACCTATAATACATGCATATTGCACCCGTGCGAAGCCAGGGGGGGTCGCTAGTAACCTAATATAACAAAACTTGATATAACATATATAGATATGTTTGCAACAGATACCATTTTTAATAATAACGGTAGTAACAGAATGGTCGAAAATTGGAGATATCGCGTACGATATCGATCTGATAAAATTAAATCAAGGTGAACCGAATGATACCTACATTCATAAACACTTCATGTTGGTCCAATGATAATTAATATCACACGTTTACATAATAATAACCTTTTATTATTTTTTTATTCATACCACAACAATCACTGAGGACAACACTTATTGCAAAGGAAAGGACAAAGTTTGCTTCCCTTGATTTTTTTTTAATATAGGCCTACCTATTAATATTTCTTAATATTAACCGAGTAAAATAATACACAAATGCAGAAATAACGTCATAAAACTATTTAAATATATTCCAAAATTTTACCTGTACAGTTTCGATTTGATCGAGTCTTGTTGATTGACATTTTTTTTTTAAACTTTGCCCCACGTTTACAAACATTCAAGTGTACATACACATGACACCCAGCCCAGGAACAACAATCTGAGGATCACACAAAGAGTTGTCCCGTGCGGGAATCGAACCCGCGACATGTTGCGCGGCAGTCAGTTGCCCAACCACCGCGCCATCCGTGCAGTCAAGTACCCATTTCGCATAAAATAATCACAGTAATTGGGCCTCCAGTAACCTCATACACACGACGAAACAAAATGGAAGCTTTGTTTCACGTCGGTTTTCTGTAAGGCCGTGGGTGACTACGGTCGATGCCGAAGCATGGCTCTCCCACACCTATGGATTTTATTTAACTATATATTTTTAATTTGGGTAACCAACAGCTATATTACAAGTAATAATAATTCAGGATATGCTATACAAAACCAATTATAAGTTTCCACGGATAGCTACAGTATACCTATTTTATACAGTTTTGCGAATGCAATGCACATAATAGTAGGAAAATAAGGATATCTATTCAGAAAAAATAAAGTTTAGCCGCCTAGCCTACACAACATGGAACTGCTTGTAGTAAATGGATCGAGTCCTAAATCTTTGCACAGATTATCAAAATTCTCTGCTCACTCACATAACTACACTAACTAACACTAATGTAGGTATTCTGCCTATAATTTGATTGGAACAGCAATGGGTGAGTTAAATCGCTTTCGCGGAACATTAGCCATACATTCATCCATTGAACATAACCCAGACTGCCTCGGCCGAGTGGTCGCAAGCGCGACTGCTGAGCAAGGGACCTCGGGTTTGCTTCCCGGGAAATGTATTACCTACCGGGATTTAAAAAAATTACGAGTAGCAGGGAGTCTGATATTGATCCCGGTATATTGCAATAGGCTCACCCCCTATTACGTGGGACTCATAACATAAATAGTGAAAAGTGAGTGTTGCATTATATATTACATCAAGTGCACCTCTGCCTACCACCAGATACAGTTGGGGGTATAAGACGTGTTTTTATGTAATGATATAACGCCTACAAACTAATATCAGCAAAAAAAAAATATTTAAAAAATATATTTAGGAGTATTAAAAATATACCGTCCGTGATCAGGTACAATGGGCTCATGTGTGGGACTTTTCGAAGTAGCAACTAAGATAAGGTATAATGTATTATTTGCATTGATATCACAGTTTTTATGGTAACTGGGTGTCGCAACAGAGATTACCTAAATCTATGCGGAAAATATCTAAATCCACGAGATGTGAAGCCAATATATTTTTGTTTTTGAGGGTATAAATCATGCACTGCATTTTCTACCTGGGGGACTTTTACTGACTAAAAACTAGCACGTTCCTAATTCTAGTTTGAGCCGGAACCCCGGTAACCCGCGAGGTCATTAACAGGGGTCGGGCATGACTACGACTAGGCCATCTTAATCTATGGTAGTCTGATGTCTCTATGAAGCGGCCGCGCGCTTCATAAACGGTTTTCCAGTTCCTCTTGCTCCGCACCATAACCAGAACCAGAGCCGGATGTTGAAGATTATCGTCGTCGATCACTTCTTTGAGAATACGGCGGTGCTCAACGTATACAGGGCATACTACTCCGGGTGGTCCCGCCGCTATCATAAACGACAGCTTATACAGAAGGTCTGGGCAACCGATCTCATTGTTTTGGATTAACACAATATCGTAGGTGTACACATGTATACATATTTATAATAACTTATAACCCATATCTATATTAGTAATGGTAGACAGAAACATCTTAAAACCAAGCAAAATAACACACACAGTGACATAAAAAACCAAACTAAAGATTGAGATAGTAATTAATAATATCTATTCATTACCGTCACTCAATGCCTCCCACTAAGAGGCCCCCTGTAGTCTATAGTGCGATATATACAATTATATAGGTTCCAAAATCATCAAAATTAGTTCGTCCTTGTCCCGACCTGGCTAAAGTCCACACACGACACAGTAGTTACTAGATAACCGAAATCATTTAGGATATGTACTATATAAAAGTATGTAAGTATGTATATAAATAGCAGAGTGACCTTGTGTTGGTCAGTCATCGACTGAGACGTACAAACGTGTGCCGTGTTTTGTGTTTTACATTTCGATATTCACATAGAAACAAATACAAACGTAAGTGTTTTTAAGAATAATAATTATAATAGCTATGTATTTATACGGAAAAGTATTTTAATCATTTGTACTGCTCATAAGAGCATACTTAATCAATACTTATACATATAAATGTATAAGTATTGATTAAAATGTTTGGTGAATGACCAAAACTATATATACTAACGATCATTACGAATGCTTTGGACATTTGTATTCCTACTATAGATACGTATTGAGTTCATATGATTAGTTTTTGCTGCATAGCGGATATCTTTTTATCTTATACTTTTTATACTATTGTATATAGCGGAAGAGTTCGTTTTTTTTGTTTGTTTGTTTGAACGCGCTAATCTCCGCAACTACAAGACTGGTTTGAATAATTCTTTTTGTGTTGGATAAAGCATTTATCGAGGGTGGCTATGGGCTATAAAACATCACGCTACGACCAATAGAAACTGAACAGAGCGTGTGAAACCGCGTGGAAGTAGCTAGTACTATATATTTAAATTTATGATACGAAACATTCGTTAGTATTTTGTTTATCATACATTGAAATGTTTACATTTTTATGATATTTAAATGGGAGTGTGGTTTATTTAAATATGTTTTGTTTCCTTCTGTAATCTATGCATTTGCATAGCAATTAAAATTAATTACCTTAACGAGCTTTAGGTAAAATTAAACAATCAGGATTAAGGATAGATAACATATACATTATTTCATCATCAAACTGTTTTGTTTTCTTTTAGGTGATGTATAATTATGGTATATTTAAGTGTAATTAGGTATGTGTGTATATATGTGTGTGTGTGTGTATGATGTATATGTATGTATCTAAGTACGTACATATGAGTGTGTATGTAAGCAATATGTATAATAGGGTAGACGACTAATTTTTATTTAATGTCCGTCTGGTTGATTATTATAAATTATTAGACACGTATTTTTTATTTTCTTACGTAAACAAATAGTTTCGAATATATTATATCGATTTGAAATGTCGCGTGACGTCACTTCTCAGTACATTTTATACTAAGAAATGACGTTTTAGCCCCGTCTCCTAGACTTTGATTCGTTTTATCTAAGCATTGTTTTATTATACGACAAAATAAAAAATACGAGTCTAATATTTTTTAATTACCTAACCTACGGACTAATTATATTTTTAACTAGCTGTGCCTGCGACTTCGTTCGCGTGGAATAGTGACTATGAGCAGCGTTTTTTTTTAATATATACTCACGACGTGATTCTTTAATTTGACATAACTTTTTTATTTATGAACCGATTGACATGAAACAAACACTAAAGCATAACTGAAGCATACCACAATATATTCGTCAAAACCGCATCCAACTCGGATCAGCCGTTTCTGAGATTAGCGTGAACAGACAAACAGACAAACAGACAAAAAAAAGTTAATTACATTTTTGGGTTCGACATCGACATAACAATAACCCCTGCTATTTTTTTTATTTTTATTTTCAATGTACAGACAGCACTTTTCTACAATTTTATTATATGTATAGATATAGATATAGATATAGATTTTCATACCCCGTCATCATCCCAATTATTGTTGAGTTCGTAGATACCTATTTTTTTTCGTAGTACATCACCAACCAGTCTTATTTGTTTTGCATTATATCCACCCAAAAGTTACCTATTTGGTATAAAACAATCATAAGACCGCCTTTGTGCTATTATTTTTTTTTTTATTTATGTTTGTTATTTCTTTTTCCGTATGTACTACATTATTAATGGTGTGCAATAAAGATTTTTTATTCTATTCTTGGTTTTTACATATTGTTTTTTCTTAATGCAACTGTAGCTTTAGTCAAAAGGTAGCAAGTTTGACTGCCGAACAAAGGGCCTCAGATTTGATGTTTGTTTTTCGAAAAGTTGTGGAAATATCTAGAGTTATGCCCAAAATAATGGCAATACTTAGATCATTCCATCTACCTAACCTTCTACATATTACAAGGAGCTCATAATACCTTAGAGAATTTAATCTTCAAAATCTTATAACATAACATAACATCACGCCTTTTATCCTCGAAGGGGTAGGCAGAGGTGCACATTATGCCACTGTATAATGTAACACCCACTTTTCACTATTTATGTTATGAGTCCCAAAGTCCCATATACTAGAACCTAATAGGGGGTGCCAATAGGCACCCCATATTAGTATATTATACCCCATATTATTATATTATACCCCATATTATTATAGTCTGGAATTGTGTCTGGTATATGGCACAATTCCAGACTCCGTGCTACTACTGAAATTTTTTTTAAAACCCAGTAATACTTTGCCCGACTTTGGAATCGAACCCGAGACCCCTTGCCCGGCAGTCGCACTTGCGACCACTCAGCCAACGAGGCAGACTCGAAATCTCATATTTTTGTTATATACGACTTTTCTTACAAAATGTGCTTGAATTACAGATGGGTGTGAAATTATACGCTGCAGACTTCAGCCCACCGGTGCGCTCCAGCATGATGGCTCTCGATATCTTCAACGTACCTTTTGAGAAGATAACACTCGACTTACTAAAACTAGAACACCATGATCCAAAATATGTAGAGGTAAGCTAAGTATAGAACAGACAGGTAAAGGGGACAATTGAATAGTAACTTTTAATTCAATGCCAAATACAATACAGCAATTAGTGACGTAATATTGTGTTCGTGTCACTAAAATTTTTTATAGGCATATACGGAGGTAAATATATACGGAAATAAAATAAGATAAAATAATTATGTCATTAAATCAATCCATGTAACCACAGGTTACTAGGGCTTCGGCTCAAAACAGGAGTAGGAACAGGGTGGTTTTTAGTCAGGAAGAGTCTAACGCTCTCTCTCACAACCAAGGTGGCAGAAGTCACTGGATGATTTTCCCTTGGCAAAATCAACTCATAGAAATATTTATTACTAACTTTTACTCGCGGCTTCGCTCGCGTCACAAAAGGATAAGCCTATGTGACATATACCAATACATACAGCGCCATCTATACCAATACTTTTGTTTTCACTCGGGAATATCAAATTTTTTCGGGATAAAAAGTACCCTATTATTTAATCTGGACTTCTATCTTTACGTCTGCAAAAATTCAAAGCAATCGGTTTAGTAGTTACGGCGTAAAAGCGGAACAAACAAACAAACTCACTTTCCGATTTATAATATTAGTAAGGATTGACTTAGTCATCATCTCCATTACTTCACCACAATACTAAAATATGCTTTACATGATTAGACTTTTACTTTTATCTATGTAAATATTTATGTACTTAGCTACATATACTTAAGTAAACAAATACCAATGAATTAAACTTTTCCATTTTTGTTTTTCCCATTCAGATGTTTCATAATAACTTCATAACAATAGCTTCTGTTTTAATAATTGGACTATACTATGGAAATAAAAGACCTTAAATAAAATGTCTAATTTTACAGAAAAACCCGATCCACACGATCCCGGTATTAGAAGATGGAGATTTGATATTGCATGATAGGTATGTTCACTGGTAATTTTTTTTTTTCTTAATTTGCCAATACACCTTTACAATTGGCTTACTGGCAAATTGCAAAAAAGTGTATAGAACGAACATTATATGGATTTCTGGCTTACTAATTCTTTTTATTTTCAGTCACGCCATAATGGCGTACCTTGCTGACACCTACGGAAAGGATGACTCTTGGTACCCAAAGGATATCAAAAAACGAGCGCTGGTTAATCAAAAACTATTTTTCACCACAGGTGTCATTTTCCCGAGGTTACGAATAATCACAGTAAGTATCAATTTGATAATAGAGGTCAAGTATTCTAGAAATTAGGACCTCAAAGTTTTTAAACTATCTTTAAGTTTACTCAAGTAACCTGCTAGACAAATGCTTCTTTTTTCTTCTTCTTCCGTACGTACGTTCTGTTCTTCTTCGTACGTACTGGAGGAGGGTCGAACAATGTTATTCTTAATATTACAGAAAACTAAAAACTAAACTAATAATCTCTATAATCTCCCTTATGCAGAAGGGGCTTATAAGCCTCCTCTAGACTATGGTCCAGTATTTGGACTATGAGCAGTTGATAATGATGATATCAAATACAATTTAGATGATCTTTATTTTTGTTTGCGGGAGGGATATCATTCAATAACGTCTCTCGTCTGTGTGAAGCGAGGGGAACACCCCGTTCCTACTTTGGACCGGAGCCCGGCAACCCGTTAAGTGGTCGACGACTCCATATCCGGCATCAGTTTCTAATGGGCTCCATCTGTGGTCTGATGGCAAACATGATTCTTGCCATAATAATGAATTACCCATACTAATATATTATTATTTATTTTACAGTACTATCTACTACAAAAAGGAAGAAAAGCTATAGAGCAAGAATGGCTGGACAACATTGAAGAAGCTATTGGTTTCGTGGAACAGTTTTTATCCCGGACAAAATTCATCGCCTTGGACCATGTCACCATCGCTGATGTTGCAGTTCTAAGTCATTTGTCTTCAGTGGAACCTATCCTACCAATAGATCCGGAGAAGTAAGTTGATAATAAAACATAATTAGTTAATTAGAGCGTGTTAAGTTAGTCTTTTCTACATTGAGTTTCAACTAAGTTTGTCAGTTTTTTCAATAAAATTTAATGAAAACATTGAATTTTAAATAGTTTTCCGTCAATCAGGTAATTGCTTTACCAATGGGAAACGCTGAATATATATTTTTTCTTTTCAGATATCCGAAAACGGTTGCCTGGTTAGAAATAATGAAAGCGACGCCATATTGCAAGAAATATAACGAAGAAGGCGTAAAATCTCTTACTGCAATCATTATGCACGCTATTGGTAAAAAATAAATAACTTTGAAATAAGTATATGTATAAGTTACAATATGTATGATTAAGAATAGGTAAGTAATAAAAGTTATTTGAGTAACTATAGATATATTTTTTTTATTATATCTCAACCCACCACCCTTCCCAAATCCCTGAATCCTCAACAATCCTCAAATTCCTAATCCCAAAAGGCCGGTAACGTACTTGCAACGCCTCTGGTGTTCCAGGTGTCCATGGGCAACGCCGATTGCTTAACATCAGGTGTTCCTTCAGCTCGTATACCGGCTTATACCATAAAAAACTACTGGAAACTAAGGGGAAAAACAATACATTTTTAATTACTTACGTTAATTGTTAAAAACGCCTAACAATAATCTTCGAGCAATTTTGTAAGAACAGTAATCTTCCTTCGCTAAACAAGCCAATCGCTATTAAAACAAGTGAGTTATTATTTCTATCAATAGGATTGATTAGTACATAATAATCCTATTGTAGTAACCGTAGTAGGTACCAACTTCAGTAGGTAGTGATAACTTCTTCATCATCTGTTGATAATGTACGCTGTTGCGTATAAATGGCCACTGCTGACCAAAAGCCTCATCTTGCACGGAGAAGGTTTGAGTATTAATCACCAAGCTTGCTAAATGCGGGTTGGCGATTTCAAACTTAAAATTAGAAATTATAAACCCAGATCACGATGCAAGTGGTGTCTATATAATCTTATCTTAGATACTACATATAACTCGGAAAAATTGACATTGGTACATACTTGCCGCTGATCGGCTTCGAACCGACACCCTCATACGTGAGAAACGGGGGCGTCAGTTCGATAACGTTGTACCTATGATAACGTATAGCTATTTATATTTTGTGAAAATTGAACAACTGAATTTAATGTATGTAATGTAATTATACTTATAGAAATACAACAATACTTCACTTCAACCACTTGATTCACACGAGGTATTTGGCGGTTGTCGTTACTACTTCCACCACTCTTCGATCGAGTGTAGTAAAGTATGGGATGTATTACATATATATAGATATCCACACATTTCTACTTACCTACTCTTTCGGCGATTACTCAATACAATAATAAAGTATTGATTATTGCTTTCCACATGTATTACTTAGGTGGTAAACACAATTCAATAACCACAATTCAAACACAAAACATTACAATGAATATATAATTTTTGAAATACAATTTTGAACAGAAATTCCTTAGAAAGTAAGAAAGTAAGCATTGATAATGTCTAAATATTTAAGTGTGACAGAGCCACGCTTCGGCACAAATGGGCCGGCTCGACCGAAGTGATACCACGGCCTCACAGAAAACCGATGTGGAACAACGCTTGAATTGTGTTTAGTCATGTGAGTGCGGTTACCGGAGGTCAAATTACTTCCCATCGCCAGTCTCCCCAATCCCCGAATCCACTACAATCTTCAAATTCTTTATCCCCAGAAGCCTGGTAACGTCTCTGGTCTTCCAGGTGTCCATAGGTGACGCCGGTAACTTACCATCAAATGATTCATCTGCTCGTTTACCGGTTTATATCATCATAAAATAGAAACAAATCTCTCAGATGTATGTCAAAGTCAAAAGCGTTTCTTTCAGTTAGACCAGCTGTAGCCAAATGCCATTTAGCGTCTACATATAGAAAAGTAAACCAAATTATATGGAATTTACGTAAATTTTAACACTTGTCAGTGTCCTCATACATTTTGATTTCTACACTCTCTGTAGGCAAGTGCTAAAGTGACGTTTGGCTAAAGGTCCAGGAAGGCACTTTTGAACGTCAAAACAAAACATTGAAATATTAAATAAAATGTCAGTCTGTCAGTCAGTCCCCCAGTGAAGTAATTTGCTCGTGAAGCCATACGATGTTTTTATAATCTTACTTGATTTTGACAGCATAGAAACTCCCGTGTTGATTGAATGATCAAGCGAAACGTATGTGGTACGCATAAATACTTATAATATACATGTCATTCTGTATCCAAGTACTGATAAGAAAAATTGACCAACTGACCATCTTTAACGATGATACAAATTTCACAAACATTATTATTTATATAATTTTGTCAAGTCATCATACATAATGTTCTACTATGACGGTTGTATCATAATAAATATTGTCACACGTTCATCTAACAATGGCAATCTCTAATGAACCATAGGACAAATATGTACATCTCACGGGAAAGTAATATTGGGTATTTAAGTCTCGTGGGATAGTAAATAAAGGTAGCCTGTGTGTTATTCCAAACCATAATCTGTCTCGGTGCTAAACTTTACCTAGATCTGTTCAGCCGTTGCAGTGTGATTGAGAAACAGACATCCAGATATCCATCCTCATTGAATGCATCAATATTAGTTATAAATAAGAATAATGTTTCAGGTTTGATTTACAAAATTGGTAGGGTCCACTTGTTAGTTTTGGTTTTTTTGAAAATCTGTATTATAAAAAGGCGTAAAACCATGGTCGTTTTCGAAAAATAAAATAAGACCGAATAGAATCAAGAAGTTAGAAGTTAATATCCCCATCATTTTGATGGTTGGCAGTCCTCAACTGATAAATGTTCTGCCTTTCACTGAAGAACTTTGGAAGCAACTATCGCCTGCAGTACTTTTGAACTGATATGATTATTAAACTTTTAAGAAATGATCGCGCTTCTATTACTGGTCAGTTAGGCACTTATTCCGCGTAAACGGCACGTCGTGTTCCATACACGCCTCAAAGAACTATCAGACCACCACAGATGCTAAGGAGGAGGCGGAGCGCGTGAGGCAGCGAAGCACTGTCTCCTCACAACCCAGCCGCCGCGAAGGACACTCCGGGCGTCGGGGATCGCGGGACGATCTCCAGCCAGCGCGGGCCTGCGGACGGCGAGCATGAGTGGCTCGCGGCCCGACCAGAACCAGACCCGAGAGTAAGGCGCGTCGCGTTCCGCGCGCGCCTCAAAGAGCCATCAGACCACCACGGATGGGGTTCAATAGGGCTGATACCGATACAGAGCCGCGGAGAACCTAACGGGTTGCTGGGGCTTCGGCTCGAAGGGCAGGGATAGGAACGGGATGACAGTCTTTCTCACATCACCCAAGACGGGAGAAGTCATTGATAATTTTCCGCCCTCAAAAAAATCTATGCGCTTTATTATGGTCACTGGTGTTGCCGTTTTCCATAGGCGGTCGTCCATATCATTCAGGTGATCCGTCATGATGTACTTGTCATCTTGTTGTGTGCACTTTAATGTTATAGAAAGGATGCCTTGCCATATATAATAAAAAGGATGCCATTTGCTACACCTTTGCTATGAAAAAGACAAACAACACATTAGGGACCTACCCCTTAACTTCCCAGTTCTGCAATTCATGCTTACAATTTACACCACATGATGTCATGTCCATAATTAAATTATTTCCAAAGTCTTGGATGATTATATCAGGCCATATTCATATCTGCTCTGATGAGGCATTGTCCTAATCGTACGCGAGTGCGCGATGAATGAATAAGTTCGCGGTGGTCGTATTAACTCGCGCGGTGATAAAAATTGTGTGGTGTGTGTAATAGAATATAATAATGTGACTTTATGTTGATATTGGGTAACATCATTTGCCATTAAACGACGCATATTTTTGATTTTTTTTCTAAGCTCTTAGCAATAAAACTAAACATAAAATAAAGTAGGTACTAGTAAAAGAAATTATAGCTCCTACATTGTACTACTTTTAATCATTTAGATATTTATAATATTTAAGTAGGTGAATAGTAACTACTAATAATTATTTTTGTTTATATATACCTATATTTATATATATTTCTAAACTATAAAAATTGATTTAAATTGTCTCCCTAAGATTCAAATTAGTTAATTTGATATTTAAACGACATTTATTAAACGGCAAACTTCCAGTACTATTATCGTCAGCATAATATAACACAAAGAGATAAAGTTTATAAAGAAAATATTTATTTTCAAACATTTTAGCGAACTAAATAAGTCATCATTATAATTATTCACCACAACACGTCCATTATAACAACAATGAACATAGGCCTACCCCAATAGCTTTCAAACCGGCCGGCCGGTTGGAAGCGACCAACAGGTCCCTGTGACCATTTTACACAGTACAAATTACCACAAGCTATTTGACATTAAGGATGTTCCTACTTACCTTCACAGAAGACTTGCGGAAGATAGCAGCACTAAGGCGTTCCCTTAGGAATCCGCCTTTTACGTTAGTCAACAAAAATAATACGATATCATATCACTGAATGTTGACAATACAAAACAAGATAACTGATAGGTACCTACTTGAGTTCGTTTATAAATAGCTAGCCGGATTTATCATGGTCAGTACCGAGTGAGGCGTACAGTCGTGTGTTGTGTCTTATAAATTCTAATATTAACAGATAAATCTCCATAACAAATGTAAGTATTTTTTAGTATTAGACCATTTTCTTTTTCATAATAGATTTTAATGCATTTCTTTAGTTTATTGTAAAATAACTTGTTGTATACACTTCAGGAGATCAATTATATAGTTGTGAGATTTATTATTCTAGTCAATTTATGAATGATTGGAGTAGAATGGAAATTGGAGTAGAATGGACCTATAGTTGAACGTACGTATTATTGTGCGTACGCGTCTCGTCGTTTATTTTTCCAATACATTGTGAAAAAAATTTATTTGAAACCGAATATACTCGGACTCCTTTCTTTTTGAAATAACATGGTTCTAGGTAGGCTATTGACTAGTCATAGGAGATTACCGTATGAAAAATTACAATGACATAAAGGAGAATGGCAGGTTTGTATGGAAGTTTTGTACCGCTATAAAATTTTGTATTAGTCATTGTTTTAACCAAGTGAATAGTCTGAACGATAGATATTTTTATTATGAAGTTTAGAAAAAATTTACATATTTTTAGAACTTGGGGTTCAAAAGTTATTTCACTTTGAAAATGTGCAAAAGGTATGTTAAGGTGGTACCACACTTGACATTGCGTAGTCGCTTCATTTGTCCAAATATTTGTAGACTTCGTACAAATGGCGTCCAAATAGTATCTCTATATGTAATGGCGTGCAAATATATAGCAAACAAAGAAGAATAAATCCTCCAAACATGTTCTTTTTTGGCCGAACACAACAAATACGCAACGTCAAGTGTAGAGCCACCGTAAGCAAAATATCTATTACAAATGACAGATGACAGTTAACTGAAAAATGTCAATGTGCTCTCATGTGGTTGTTTATTTACAAAAAACAAAAATCTAAAAATACTGCTCGCTACTCAAGTGACTATTACACTTTGTATTATTAGAAAGAAAGAAAGAAAGAAAAAAACCATTTATTTTGCTACGACACACAACAAGAATTTAGAAACCCAAAAAATAACCTATGGTGCGTCGCAGCGCAAAAGGCAATTAGGAATGATCCTGTTAATTCAGCAAGCATGATGCACCTATAGAGTTTTAAAGAGTATGCCTCACAATCTTTTTCATTTCTTAGGTGCCTACGAAAATGCAAATTCATAATGTAAGCGACTGTCATTGGGTAGAAGGCCTACATTTAGCAGTGGAAGTCTTGTGGCGGATATGATAAAACTAATGTCTCACTTCACCTTGAATCTTGCAGGTAGATAGTCTCAAGGGTCTCAAGTTAATTCGATTTAAACTTAGCTTAGCTCTTTGAGAAAGTATTTCTTCTGAAAACTGGTTGCTTAGCACGCATGTAAGGATTAATTTCTAATAAGTAAGTCAAATTAGTAGAATCATCAACATTTTCATCATTAAGTCTATAAGTGGCCACTGCTGACCGTAGCCTCTTCTCGCATGGAGGTTTGAGCATTAATCACCATACTAGCTCAATGTGGGTTGGTAATTCAAAGTTATAATAAGAAATTATAAGCCCATGTTTCCTCACAATGTTTTCCTTCACCATTCGTCAGCGGTGTCTTTGTACTTTCTTAGATTATTGAATATACCAATAACTCGGAAAAAAGACACATTGGACAAAAGGTACTTTGCCGTTGGTAGGTTTTGAACCCGCACTCTCATGCATGAGAAACGGGCTTCTTAAACCTCTGGGCCACCACATTACAACTAAAGAAAATGTAAAATGAAAATGAACATTTTTGGTATAAAACTAAAGCTATCTAAATTAAATATGGCATTTATTTTATAGGTTGATTCTTAAAATCACTTTTATCAAGATGGAATATATAGTTACTTACTAGGTTAAAATAAAACAAATGTATTATTTTGAAATACTTTTATTTCATTGTATTCAGGTTGTTTCTAGGAGTACTTCATCTAAAAAGAGAACAGGCCGTGTCATAGGTTCAGCAGACATCAATTGCTGATATCTGTAAACAAGTAAGATAACTGTAAATAAAGTAAACAAAAGTACATTTTTTTCATTTAGTTTTATATGTTATAATAATAAGTCTGATTCCCTATCTTAAAATGGAAAAGATAAAAATAAATATTTGATTACATTACTTCATTTTATAACATTTATTATAGTTATTCGTATAACACAGATCATAGGAGCTCAAACAACATGCTAATTAATAAATTATAATTATAACATGAGTATAAACCTATTAGAAACCGCTTATATACTCCACATAGATACATAATTATGTAGGTACATTATATTGAGAATGCATACCTGTTGAAGCTTTGAGAGCCGAACAACATCATCCGGCCTCATCTGTTCTACAAATGGCAATGTTAAAGTGAGGCTTAGTCCATGTTTACATAATACATTACTTCCTGATAGTGAACACTGTGAGGTGGTATGTCAGGTTGTGGTTTTATAGTTTCGACTCTTGTACGGTCTCTCAGTCAGTATGGAACATGATCTTCATCATGGGAAGTAAGCTAAAATAAGTAATATTATTAGAATATGATATTGACTTTAGATTACACTGTATATAGATAATAGTATGGTTAAATTATGCTTTATTACCTCTTGTGGCTGAATCCAATCAAATACTATATGAGCCAGTCTTTACTCCTGTTTGTTGGCGCCTTCAATTAAAACCCTGCGTCACCTTATCATTGCAATGAATCACCCATATACGACACAAACATGCCAGTGACCAATTTGTTTGCTGGACATACTTTCAGCAACATCCTGATACATTGCTAATTGCCAGCAAGCATTGCAAATATGGTCGGTAGGAGAGATCTAGAATAAAAAAATAAAAAGATACATTATGGGTAGATAACACTATGCGCCTTCTTTTATTCAGGCAACATGGTGACTTTCGATATGTTATGGGTAAACTAGGTACTTACATCTCTAGGATAAGTCCACATTGGGATATTGTTGACCACGTCTAATCTTCACTCTCATTTTCTAGAGCATGCCGTCTCATGTGCGACAAACTCTGAATGCAATTAATACACTGTAAATTCATCATCGCGACAAATAACAACACACTGCACAAAACAATGTAAATAAGTGTCTTTTCGCAATTGTCACAACAATGATTCCAATAATACCAATTTGGGCTACGGAGGAACGGTTGCCAAACTCAATGTATCACCAGATGAATAAAATAACTTCAAATTCAACAAACACATCATAACATCGCATTTGAAACAAACAGTAATGCGCCAGTATTGACAAATTAATTGTCAATGTCATCAAGACAAATGCCAGTTCAACATTGCCATAATATTCAAGTTTGTTAAAATGTTAATTATCATTAATAATCCATGTAAACGTAGATTTAGATTGGATGTAGATTTTTATATTTACTTATAAAAATGTTTGAAATGGAAAGGAAAATATTTCATTGATAGATATTAAAATAAATGAGTTTATGAAATAGCGAAATTCAATATGCTCTGATTTCATCTTTACGCATGGCAACTTTGTAAACGTCAATCGCGGTTCGTTTTACGTATAGTGGATTGCTTTTTATCATTATTGAATATCTGTTTTTCAAGGGTTTCCCAAGTTTTAAAAATCTATTAAATATGCTAACATAACGTACTTAGGAGGTTCTATAATGACCCAATTTTTTAATGACAAATCTTTTTTTAGCGAAGCGGTACAAAATCTGCCGTTCTCCTTTTAGTTACTGCCTGCCTCATTGGCCGAGTGGTCGCAAGTGCGACTGCCGGGCAAGGGGTCTCTGGTTCGATTCCCGGGTCGGGCAAAGTATTACTGGGTTTTTCATAAAATTCACAGTAGTAGCACGGAGTCTGGAATTGTGCCCGGTATATGGCAATAGGCTCACCCTCTTTTACATGGGACTCATAACATGAATAGTGAAAAAGTGGGTGTTACATTGTACAGTGGCATAATGTTCACCTCTGCCCCTTCGGGGATAAAAGGCGTGATGTTATGTTATGTTATAAATTTTAGTTTGACGAGAAAACCATCGATTTCATACTATGTCTATCTTTGTCTGTATCAGAAAAAAATGTTGGCAGTCAACAGTATTATAGTCGGACCCATAAGATAAGCCGTAGCACCATAAGATAAAGATTTAACTCTGGGAGTGACTACTGAATGTATAATTTTAATGTTAAACTGTATTACATCTTCCAGATGGGTGTAAAACTGTACACTTTGGATATGAGCCCGCCAGTGCGTGCCTGCATGATGGCTTGTGAGATCTTCAACGTGCCATTTGAGAAGATCCCTGTTGATTTAATGGCAGGTGACCATCTAACTCCTGAATATTTACAGGTAAGATATCATGATTTAAATAGTAACATACAAAACCTAATGACGTGTAGCACTCATAAACTGTGAATCAAACAAGTGAGTTCAAGTGTGAGAGAGCCATGCTTTGGCACGAATAGGCCGGCTCGACCGGAGTGATCCACGGCTAAGCAGAAAACCGACGTGAAACAACGCTTGCGTTGTATATCGTCGTGTGAGTGAGGTTACCAGAGGCCCAATTACCCCCCTCCCTAGTCTCCCGAATCCCCGAATCCTTCACAATCCTCAAATTCCCAATTCCCAAAAGGCTGGTAACGCACTTATAACACCTTGGTGTTTCGGGTGTCCATGGGCGGCGCTGATTGCTTACCATCAGGTGATCCGTCTGCTCGTTTACCAGCTCATGTTATAAAAAAAAAGATTACCATGACTTTGTGCGAATAAATATTGTATATTGTAAATGGATAAAAATCCCTTCTACTGACGCATCTGTTTAATATTAGGTAATTATATAATTATATCCATCCATATTGATATATATTTCTTATTTTTGACCACTGCACTCGTGCTGTGTGGCTGCTGTGCAACGTTCCCGCTGGCCTAAAAGTGATAATGGCAATTTCTGAGTAAAATAACCAAGGTACATGAGGATATTAAGGCCTAAAAGGGAAATTTGTTGTAAAATAAATATTGGTAATAGAATCTACAAGTTTTATTAAGTAATCGGTCGTTTATTTAGGCAACTGCAATATTAAAACAAAAAATAACACCTTCAGCATGAAACCCAAACAAAATTATAAGCCCAAAATTATACTTACAAAATTAGCCCGGAGTCAGGAAATTCGGGGGTGTTTCAATCCCGTGCCTCGGAAAGCATTTATAAAGCCATTGGTCCTACGCCTGATCTCTCACCGGTCCCGTCGGTCTGCTGTCCCATCGGGTTCTGAGAATGAGGGAACAGAGAGTGCATTTGTGTTTGCGCACTTAAGCATTAGGTATAATATCTCCTAGTCTCGTTATACTAGACCAGCTGTAATATCCCTTAGTCTAATTAGTCTAGCTAGTCTAGTTTGACTATTCACTATGTTCCATGGGGAGATTTATATTTTATTTCTTATTTTACAGAAAAATCCTCTCCACACAGTCCCTGTTATGGAAGATGGCGATGTCACATTACATGACAGGTTAGTTTAATTTCTTCTCACACATTATAAACTAAAATATGAAATGATCAAAGATTTCAACATTATGCTCATTACAGAATTTAACTTGAACCAATTTTGACTAAAGTAGATACAATAATTTTAGAATTAAAATAATGATATTTATTATATTTGAGATCATATAAGGAAGCCAAACACTACTTAAATGCAGACTATTGTAAAATCTTAGATAGTAGTGTCATAATTATAACCAACTGTCTGCCTCGTTGGCCGAGTGGTCGACAAAGCGACCGTCGGGCAAGAGGATAGATTACTGGGATTTTTGCAAGTTGTCCCAATAGTAGCCCGGGTCAGGAATTGTGCCCGGTATAAGGCAATAGGCTCATCCTCTAAATATTACATGAGACTCATAACATGAATAGTGAAAAGTGGGTATTACATTGTACAATGGCATTATGTGTCGTAATTTGCACCTCTGCCTACCCCTTCGGGGGTAAACGGCGTGATGTTATGTTATGTAATTATGACCAAACTAGTTTTAAATAATTTATTTATTTTTAATTAACACTTGGGAAACCAACAGCTATACAACTTGAGTAAAAAGAATATGGCATGCAACAAAAAGGCAGTTACTGATTTCCACGACTAGCCACCTCTGTGGTTCTCTAACAGAAACACGCTTACACAGCACTACACCAATACTATCAATAATAATCAAACTATAGGCAAAGTATAATGCTGCACAGTTCAACACAATCATTGAGTACCTCATAAGTACCCACAATGAATCAATGAAGTCTAGGTTCGGCTGCCTGCGTGCTTCAGTGAGTTTTGATTAAATTGGTCAAAAGAAAAATCTTTACATAGTTTACTGAAATCTTTGCTCGCTCGCACAATATACGAATTACTCCTATAGTTAATTGAGGAAGAAGGTATTAATATCTAGGGATTGAGGTACATTTAGACCTGTGTTTTACAAATGACCAGAAAGACTTCTCCCGACAGACGCTTCAGTAGAGGCGAAATACCTTGCATAACATAACTTAGGTCCTCATAAAGTATAAGTAAATACATTGCAATATTAACACATACTTTTTTCATTTCCAGTCACGCAATAATGGCGTACTTAGCTGACACCTACGGAAAAGATGAATCTTGGTATCCAAAAGATGTCAAGAAACGGGCTTTTGTGAATCAAAAACTATTCTTCGATACAGCTATAATTTTTCCTAGACTACGAAACATCACAGTAAGTAAAATACCCATTAAGTAGGGCGATAAATATGTAACGTATTTGTAAATGTAAATAAAATATTTCAAATTCAAAATAGAAAGACTATAAATTTAATATATTGTTTAAAATGAGCATTACAAGTGCGTTACCGGCCTTAAGTATTTGAAAATTGTTGGAAAGTCAGGAATCACTCATAGGTACGACGAAACACAACGCAAGCTTTGTTTCATGTTGGTTTTCTGTGAGGCCGTGGTATCACTCCGGTCGAGCCGGCCAAACCAAATCCAATAATGTGACAAATATACATAACCAAAAGAATAAATATATTTTTTCATTAAATATGACGTATAGAAATTAGGAAATTATAAAATAACATCAACATGGCCTAAAATATGATATGTAAATATTTCCAGTTGTTTGTATTTAAATATAATTTTAATTTCAGTACTTCATCGTGATGAAAGGAAAGACGACCATAGAACCAGAATTGCTGGAGGCCGTTGCAGAAGCTTACGACTTCATGGAAGCATTCCTGTCCCGTACAAAATACATCGCTGCAGATCATGTCACCATCGCTGATATTGGAATATTGGCAGTTATGACGTCTCTCGAACACATTCTATCAGTGGAACCTAATAAGTAAGTAAAATTACGTTCAGAATTTTTTTTTTTTGCTTCAATTCGGTGGTTGACTTCATGAGTCAAACGCCATTTGATTAAAGTTTTATTGGTCAGTAATTCCTGATGGGTTCATGGGACATTCGATTTTTTAAACTCGACCAAAGTCAAAGTCAAAGTCAAAGCATTAATTTCAATTAAATCATAGTTTGGTACTTTTGAAACGTCAACAAATACAAAATAAATAATAGTCTGTCAGTCAGTCCGTCAGTGAAACTAGGTGAAGCTAGGTGCTCATTCCAAAAAGTAGATTCGAATGGAGAAGAACGAGCAAGAAACTCCATTCGTTACTCTTTTTAAAAAAGTATGTTCTCCAATGTCTCTGATACATATTTCAATACTGTACGCATATGTAAGAACAATGCAAAGACACGCTTGACGCATTTTACTAATAACTTACTAAAATAAATAAAAAATTAAGAAAATTCTTAAAGTCTAACATGGTGCTCACATATGCATAAACCGTGAATAAGGAGGTTTTAATGGGTGATACTAGAGGTGTAGACACAATGAAAGACTGGTCACGACTAACCTCTTAAACTGTCAAACACCGCGAGGGCACCGTTGACCGCAACGTATTGTTCTTTAATTGTGTCTATAATGACTTGTACTCAAAGGATTATAACACGACAGTTCCACAGAGCATGCTAAGACATACTGACTATTGTTCATATAATTAGGTACGTACTAAAAACAAACTTAGCTTACGCTACAACAAGACACATCTTTAGTATACGCTATGCCGTTACAAGGTTATAGTCAGCGGACTTTGGAAAGGGCTATAGGTATTCGTAATTTCTTGAAAGGATAAAATCCGAAACGAAACTCATTATTAATGTGCAACAGTGGACGAAAACGGACTAATGATGATGAAAAAGTATGAATTAAATAATTATATCCATAACTATTAAGAATGCTTAATTAATTAATTATCTTTCTTCTTCAGATACCCAAAAACATCCGCCTGGTTAGAAAACTTGAAAACAGCTCCATACTGCAAGAAGTGGAATGAAGAAGGTGCCAATGCGTTGGGAGCGTTTGTTAAGAGCAAAGTTACTTTGTAACATCCTTCGAATAATAATATGTATTTACCAATAATCTTAACATAATTATGACTAAGACTTAATAAAGAACTACCATAAAATATTTTTTTAGTTTTCTTAATTTTTGCCTTTGAACCTTACCAAGACGGTAACAATATACAGACGATCGAAAGGCTGGCTCTTGAGCAAAGGTTAAGCAGTGCCATTCAACGTGGCAATGCTGCCAGTCTTTTGGGCACCATTGGTAACATTTTAAATATTTTTGTAATGTGTAAATATTTTACTTTTTTTACTTTTTGTATTTATAATATCAATATTAGTTTAAATTAATTTTAATTTGATATATTTATTCATAATTTTATTATGTATTGAATTTGTTATCTTTACTTTAAAACTTAAATTCTATACAGAAGTCCGCACAGGCGACATGTCGCAACGGCACAGTTTCGCAACCATCTGAAAATTAAGAAGACATGCATTAAAATTACACTTTATCACATAATTATCAGGGAAGTATAATTTTTACAAGTCTGATTTATTCTATTCTTCTTTGACTAAAGTTTGTGCATTTATTAATTAAAATCAATGAACCCTCATTTACCACACACACACACACACACTGGTGCCACAGGTAGTAAGTACCAACCAAATGAAATCCAATATTAACCTATAAATAAATGTGAAATGTAAGAAATTCTTATTTTAGACACAAAATCGTTTATTTTGTAGGTTTTTCACTTCTGGCAGATAATATATACTTAAACAGTAATACGATTCTTACTCATCATAGCCACTATCCGAACGAAAACATAATACTAAGTACAGAACGCTGAAATGGCGTTGGACAGGACATATGCTGAGAGAGGAGAGAGAAAAATTTACCAGAATAATAACGGAATGGTACCCTAGAGACCGCAGGAGAAGAAGAAGAAGACAGTATAAACGATGGGAAGACGACTTGAAACAAGTAGCAGGACCAGAATAGTTACGCGTAGCAAAGGACAGAAACAAGTGGAAATCCATAGAGGAGGCCTTTGTCGAAAGACAAGCTGTTGTAAGAGGAGAGAAACCGATTGCTGAAATTATCTTAGAGTAATTTTTTAAGTTTGTTTTATTTCTTAACTCTTTGTTACAACTTTGATTACAACTGTAATTTTTGTTTTTATTTTATAAGATTCATTCGTTAGAGTCTTGAATCATTTTATAATGCAACCAAAGAGTTGTTGTTTTATACTCATTACTTAATACCACAATACCAAGCAACATCATATTATAGAGGTACATAGTTGGAATGAAACAAAATAATAAGTTTAAATAAATTGTTTTATTTATTACTCATATACACACTTTTTATATTTGATCTTATCGTTAAAACTTAAAAAGACACTGATTTATAAAATAACAAGAAATCCAGGAATTTATGCAACTCTGCTATTAACATACGCTGCCAGTTCATTTGCACCTGCTTCATCATATTTCTTACAATATGGGGCTGTTTTCAGGTTTTCTAACCAGGCCGATGTCTTTGGGTATCTGGAAGAAAAAACCAATTTACGTATCGCTCATAGGTACCAATTTGATTTCTGAAAACGCTAAAATTATTGTAAAGATTTGGGTGCAAACTAGACAGACATACAGGTGCGTTGCCTATAACCATTTTAGGCCTCCGGTAATAAGGCAAACCAAAACGTAAGCATTGTTTTACATTGGTTTTCTGTGAAATTTGTATTTTATATTTGTAAACTGATTATGTTTGACTTACTTTTGAGCGTCCAATTTTATAATTTGTGTGAGAGACGTCATAACAGCCAAAATAGCTACATCAGCGATTGTGACATGGTCTCCAGCGATATATTTTGTCCGGGACAAGAATGCTTCCATGAACTCGTAGCCTTCTTCAACAGCTGCTATCAATTCTGGCTCAATAGTCCTCTTTCCTGTCAACACTACTTGTCCCTGTAAAATAATAAATAGGTTATATACCTGTATATTCTCTGCTCATTGGCCATTACTGATGATCTAGTGTATCTAAAAAAAATATTGTTTCGAAAAAATTTGACGTGATCTGTAGGTACTTGATACTTACTGTAATGTTACGTGCTCTAGCGAAAATAATAACTGCGTTAAAGATTAGTTTTTGGTTAACAAGCGCACGTTTCTTAACGTCTTTGGGATACCAAGAGTCGTCCTTTCCGTAGGTGTCAGCGAGATACGGCAATATTGCGTGGCTGGAAATAAAATAAATGAATAACATTTTGTTTTGTCTTTACCATGATTTTTCTCAATGAAATAATATATATTGATTTTAAGCTTGAATAATGAAATGGTGTTTAAGTACAAATAATAATAAACAAACCTGTCATGTAATGTTAAATCTCCATCTTCCATAACAGGGACTTGGTGGATGGGATTTTTCTGTAAAGAAGGAAATATTCTACCTTAGATTCAAACACTTGGAATACGATAAAAAAAAATTGTAGTTATTTGTTTCTCTCATGTCCAAAGTAGGTGTTGCATTGTAAAGTTTGCATCTGGAATTGTAATGTTATGTTCTAAATGGGTTTTCAACTTACCTTTAAAAATTCTGGTGTAAGATGTTCACCAGCCTGAATGTCAATTGGTATTTTCTCGAATGGTACATTGAAGATCTCACAAGCCATCAAGCACGAGCGCACTGACGGGCTCATGTTGTAGGTGTATAGTTTCACAACCATCTGAAAATTACCAATTACCTTTATATTAAACAAAATAAACGTTTGAAAGACACCTTCAAAAATAGAAATCTCTATCGTGTGCAGAGTTATTATAAAACTAAAATCCAACGTTCTACAGACGAAGTTACTTTTTTTGAGAAAAAGTCTGCAGTCCCTGAAAGACGAACCTACAATGACTACTGCCCTTCATCAAGCATTGGGTATATCATCGAATTGACTGTTATAGTACCTAAACTTAACGTAATGTATCGTATCTAATAATTATGTAAGCATTTTTTTTTAAGGGGGGAAAATCATCGAATGACTGTTCCCGCCTGGGTGAGGCGACAGGGAGTGTCAGACTCTTACTGACTAAAAACCACCCCGTTCCTTCTCCTGCACGTCGAGCCGGAGCCCCGGTTACCCGTTAGGTTCTCCGCGATAATTATGTAAGCATATAAATGACTTAGTTTATAATTTTACAAAATTAATAAAATTAAAAATTATAGTTTAATTTAATATTATTAATGATTTAGGTAAAATTTTAATTACAAAAAGCACTCACGTTTGTAATTATTTTTTACGTTAGTATGTAAATTAGTAGTCTACTGTATGTCTCAGTCGATATGGTACTGAACAATATAGGAAGCTATTGAGCTGTTTATAAATGGACACTGGTTATATCACTGGTTGTTATCTGATTGTGTAATATCAACATGGAGCGATTGGATTTTTATCAAAAAAAATCAACGAATTAGGCAGATTGAAACAGGTATGGACATGTTTAGGTACTAAGACTAGCTAAACCCGCGGCTTTGTTCACGCACAATTTGCTTATTTTCTTACCTGCTATATTCCTAGAGTTTTAGCAAGAGTAACAAATAGGATTATTTTTAATACATATTTTTAGAATTTTTATTATTTTTTATTTAGTTATTTTTCTTTGAAAATATTTCACGATTTGTAGAATAACAAGTTTTTAAGGTATTTATTTTGCTTCATAATTTACATATTTTATTATTAATTTTATAAACCTTTGGGCTTAAATTGTGTCCGGTGCATGTTCGAATTTAAAACATGGCATAATAATGTATCATAATGTAATAAAACATTTGTATATTTCATTGAAAAATAGATTCAGCACCGCTGTGTTGTAATTTGGGAAAAGTTTGTTTAATGTATATATTTCACATATATTATGTATTATTGTGCAATTCATTAAGAAATGGTGGTCTATTTATCATCATAATCTACAGATTACGTACAATTATTTACGCTAAATTTTAGCGTTATCACTAAGTATTCTTCCTCGCCAATATCTGAATTACAACTGTAATCTGTAGGTGATAAATGTTGCTAGGTGACGACTAGCAATGCAATTGTTTTTAGATAGTAAGCAATTTTTTGTAAAGATAGGGCGTATCTGGAATCCTATGTTATGTTATTTTAAGTGTGGGAGAGCCATGCTTCGGCATGAATGGGCCGGCTCCACCGGAGTTATACCACGGCCTTACAGAAGACCGACCTAAAACAACGTTGTATTGTGTTTTGTCGTATGAGTGAGGTTACCGGGGGCCCAATTATCCCCAACAATCCTCAAATTCCTAATCCCAAAAGGTCGGTTACGCACTTGTAACGCCTCTGGTATTCCAGGTGTCCATGGGCGACGTCGGTTGCTTACCATCAGGTGATCCGTCTGCTCATTCACCGGCTAATCCCATAAAAAAATATTTTGCAGGATATATCCATCTTGGACATTTATTGTTAGAGTTTGAAATAGCCTGATTAAAGCCTCGGTCGCACGAGAACGGAATCTGCGGTGGCGATTTTTAACCGCTTAGTTGTGGGAAACAAGAAACAAGGGCCACATTTGCAGCTTAATTCGAGGCTGATTTCAATACAGTAAAATGCTGCGCAGTTAAAAAACGCCACGCTTTGTTTGATTTCTTTAAAATCGTATCGAGATTTTGATTATTATATGAAAATTTAGTCAATTGTTGCTTTTTTATTGCACAACAATACACAATATGTATGAAATCTGTATCTTTACTCCAAGTAGGTACTTTTTAAATATTATGTAAGATTGTAATCCTTACAATAAATAATAACGGAGATTAATCCAATTTATTACGCGCATGTGATATAAATATTATGTATATAGTTTTAAATAAAAGATTAATGGTTAGATAATAATCTATAGGTAGGTATAGAAACAATATAATTGTCGTAATAAGTGTTCCACTTGCTAAGTAGACAAATTTAGAATGGCGAGACCGATTATCAGCGCATACGCACTATCAAAATGCCAAAATATTAATGCAAGAGCACTGAAAACGGAGAAATATGCACAATAAAAAAACCATTTATAATTAGAAGTTACTAGCGGACACCGCGTAATTTCACTTGAGAATTATTTTTCTTACCCTCTTCCTAACAATAAAAAAACCCAACAAAAAAGAATTAACGAAATCGGTTCAGCTGTTCTCGAGATTTATCTTAACAACATATTTAGCCACTTGTTTTTATATTGTACATAAATGCTGCAGGAAACAGAAAGTAAATTTTGTGACGGTAATACTTTAACAATAATAATATATATTATTTTTCCTGGTTTTGTACATCAAACTTGTGATATTTGTCACTTAGTATCAATTTATAGACTGAAAATGACCTTTCAACATTGACCTGTGACATAATACAATACGAATAGGTACTGAAATAAAATGTTCCAAATATGCAATAATGCAGAAATAGAATACATAAATAAAAATGTACGCACTTACATATGCAAAGAACCAAATCCATATAATCCGATATCTACTGTTTGTCATTTTTTTTTTATTTTCAAGATATTTTTTTTATCAAAGGAAAATAAGAATACTATTTTGAAATGCTAGATAATAGTACCCAGATGAAGCTGTTATACGCTATCGGCCCGATGCATACCAATTGTAAATATAAAACATCTTTTTTGTTTTAAGTATTCTTTATAGGTTCTGACTTCAATGAAATTTGAAATTAATGCAAAGTTTATCAGGAAATATATGTATCTATGTGAAATTATTGAGCTGTTTATACAAAACTTTAATGGCCAAAAATAAAAATCAAACAACGTATTGATGTGAAAATCGCTTCTTTATTCGTGGAAAATAAGATTAACGAAAGCGCATAGGTACATACATAGATAGCGATATAATTGAAGTTTTCACTTCCGTACACTATAGGCAATTTTTATCTGATACCATAATCAGGTCAATTCAAAATTGAGGGTAAAACTAAAACAAAACATGTCAATCCCTATTCCAATCAGGATAATGTGTTTATTTTTTGATAATAGTCAAATTGGTGTCTATTACACAACCAGATAACCACTAGATAAGTAGTTAATTCATAAATGGAGTTTTAATACATATACGTTCTCATCCTGGTCAATATTATCACGGTCACAGGTTAGAATACCTGAAAACAGCGCCATATTGTAAGAAATATGATGAAACAGGTGCAAATGAACTGGCAGCGTATGTTAAATAGCAGAGTTACATAAATTCCTGTATTTCTTATTATTCTAAAAATCATTGTCTTTTTAATTTTTATAAAATAAGACAAAAGGTAATAAGTATGTGATTATCATGTAAATGAGTAATAAATAAAACAATTTGTTTAAACTTATTATTTTGTTTCATTCCAACTATGTGTATGATATTGCTCGGTATTGGGCAATGGGTATAAAACAATACCTTTGTTTTATTTGGGTTTTTTTTGATAAAAATCCAATCGCTCTATGTTAATATTACACAATCAGATAACAAACAGTGATATTATGTACCCGTGTCCATTTATAACCCGCTGAATAGCTTCCTCTATTATTCAGTACCAAATCGACTGAGACATACGGTAGACTACTAATTTACAAATTTAAGTAAAAAATAATTCCAAACGTGAGTGTTTAATAAAAAAAAATAAACTATAATTCTGAAATATATTTATTTTCATAAATTTATACACTGAGGATTTTATATACCTGCATAATTATTAGATAACTATAACAAGATAAAAGATTACTATAACAGTCAATTCGATGACATACCGAAATATTGACAAAACGTAGTAGTCGCCATAGGTTTGTTTTTCAGGGACTACAGACTTTTTTCACAAAAAAAGTAACTTCGTCTGTAGAAGGTTGAATTGTAGTTGTATAACTCAGCAGACGAGAGACTTTTTTATTTTTGAAAGTGTTTTTGAAATGTTTATTTAGTTTAAATTATTAAGATAATTAGTAAATTTCAGATGGTTGTGAAACTATACACCTACGACATGAGCCCGCCAGTGCGCGCGTGCATGATGGCTTGTGAGATCTTCAATGTACCATTCGAGAAGATGCCAATCGACCTTCAGGCTGGTGAACATCTTACACCAGAATTTTTAAAAGTAAGTTGACAACCCGTTTGGAACAAAATCCCTGAGGCAAATATTACAATGAAACGCCTACATTGGACATCAGAGAACTATTGTTCAAATTATAATATTATTGTATATTTTTATCGTGTTCCAAGTGTTTAAGGTAAAATATTTCCTTCTTTACAGAAAAATCCCATCCACCAAGTCCCCGTTATGGAAGATGGAGATTTAACATTACATGACAGGTTTGTTTATTATTCGTATTGAAAGCCAAATAATTCAAGCATAAAATCAATGTATATTAATTCATTTATTTTATTTCCAGCCACGCAATACTGCCGTATCTCGCTGACACCTACGGAAAGGACGACTCTTGGTATCCCAAAGACGTTAAGAAACGTGCGCTTGTGAACCAGAAATTAATCTTCAACGCAGTTATTATTTGCGCTAGAGCACGAGACGTTACTGTAAGTATCAAGTACAGATCACGCCAATTTTTTTCTAAGCAATATTTATACATTTTATCTATAGGTAATTAACTAAAGGTAAACAAAGAAAACCACGTGACACAGAGATACTTAACCTACTATTACTTCAAATATTTCTAGTGTTTTAATTTTAACTAAATTCACTTTAAACTCGTTCATTTGTCATACACACATATACAACTGCAAATGCCTAAATCGTACAAGAGCCTTGCCTATGGGTCTATTTCATTATCATGTTTAAATAGAAACTATTCTGAATCTGATGTACGGATTTCTTTCTTGTAGGGATATGTGTCTTTGGGCCAAGTTTCTTCAATATATTTGAACACATTAATTACAAACGATGAATAACCTAAACTTGAATAACTTAATAACAAAAACAAAACAAAGAAACAAGATAAATTCAACAAAATAGGAACGCGAGCGCAAATGACGAGAGAGCTGTCAATGGCGCCTGATTAACCGACTAAACGTAATACACGCTATTTTCATTGTCGCGCTACATCTTAGTTGTACTCTTTAATTTGACAACATTATTTGGCTTCGTTCTTAAAGAAAAGTTTTGGATACCTGGGCCTCTAGCCAAAAGCCACTTTAGCGCTTGTCTACAGTGAGAGTAGAAATCAAAATGTATGGGGATGACACTGACAAGTGTCAAAATTTACGTCAATTCCATATAATTTGGTTTTCTACTCTACATGTAGACAAGCGCTAAATGGCATTTGGCTTGCACTGCTGGGCCTCTAGCCAAAAGCCACTTTAGCGCTTGTCTACAGTGAGAGTAGAAATCAAAATGTATGGGGATGACACTGACAAGTGTCAAAATTTACGTCAATTCCATATAATTTGGTTTTCTATTCTACATGTAGACAAGCGCTAAGTGGCATTTGGCTACAGCTGCTGGGATTTTAGGCTCTTTATGGTGTCTATTGTAATGAAATGTTATACTATTTAATAAATGTTATTAAATTAATATCCTCAAGCAGATATATATAATATTTACTAAGAAATAAGTGAAAAGGGACAGAAACATAACATTTAATAGAGAAAACTGTCGTAAAAAAGGAAACAATTTTATTTTCTTATGAAGTATTTTGAATCATGGAAATGTCAACTATAAAGAACTCTTTTTATGGTTTGTTTACAAATAGTTAACTACCTAAACAGACGGAGTATAGATATTATCATCAGCAATGGCCATAAAGCAGAAAATGACGAATATAAACATATTAAACTCTATTTGTTATTTTACAGGGGCAAGTAGTGATGACAGGAAAGAGGATTATTAAACCAAAATTGATAGCAGCTGTTGAAGAAGGCTACGAGTTCATGGAAGCATTCTTGTCCCGGACAAAATATATCGCTGGAGACCATGTCACAATCGCTGATGTAGCAATTTTGGCTGTTTTGACGTCTCTCACACAAATTATAAAATTAGATGTTCAAAAGTAAGTCAAACATAATCACAAAACACAAATCTCACAGCAAACTTGTTTGTGAGTGAGATTACCGGAGGCTTAAAACGGCTATGGGCAACGCGACCTGTAACTCTGTTAGTGTTGCGGGTCTGTCCGTATAATAGGGTAGACGACTAATTTTTATTTTAATGTCCGTCTGATAGATTGTTTAAAAACATTAGACACGTATTTTTTATTTTCTCACAGAAACGAATAGTTTCGAAGATATATTGATTTGAAATGTCGCGTGACGTCACTTCTTAGTACATTTTATACTAAGAAATGACGTTTTAGCCCCCACTCCTAAACTTTGATTCGTTTTATCTAAGTATTGTTTTATTATACGACAAAATAAAAAAATACGTGTCTAATATTTTTTCATTACCTAACTTACGGACTAATTATATTTTTAATTTTCATACCCTGTCATCATCCCCATTGTTTGCCCTCCAAATCTTTAAAAAAATCGTATTGATTTTAAAAATGAAATTAGTACGTTCGATAGGTACTTAAATTACTTTTTTCTTCCAGATACCCAAAGACATCGGCCTGGTTAGAAAACCTGAAAACAGCGCCATATTGTAAGAAATATGATGAAGCAGGTGCAAATGAACTAGCAGCGTATGTTAATAGTAGAGTTGCATAAATTCCTGCATTTCTTATTATTCTTTAAATCATTGTCTTTAGTTTTAAAAAATGATACAAAATATAACAAGTGTGTGATTATATTGTCATGTAAATGAGTGAATGATAAATAAAACAATTTATTTAAACTTATTATTTTGTTTCATTCCAACTATGTATGTGATATTGCTTGGTATTGGGCAATGGGTATAAAACAATACAATACAAACAATACTGTTTGTTACTAACATACCTCTTTGGTTGCATTATAAAATCATTCAAGACGTGTTCAAGACTCTAATGAAACGAATGATTTTGAAAACATGTCAGTTACTGTCAATTTTTATCAACAAACTTACCCATGTATATATAGTATCTAACTTTTCTTTTTAAATATTTTTTGTAATGACGAGATTATTACATTGCTATTATTGGACATAGTACCCACGTACCTGTAAGTTGTAGGTAGACTGGCTTCATAATAAACTTAGTCCTATGAAGTAAGTAGTAGCTGATAATTTTTAAATTCATGAATCATGTGAAACCCGAAATATTCATAAAATTTAGTTTTGTTTCCGTACATGTAACCATTTGGAAACTTGGAACATATATATAGGAAGGTTGTAGATAGGTGATTGTGTACAGAAACCATAACAGTTAGCTACAGTTAACGGGTCATTGCAACGCTCGTAGACAGACCGTTTACAACATGTCACTCACAACGTAGTGCTTCAGATAATTGGGAAGTAAACTTGGATATTACGTTTACAGGAAGATCTTTCGAAGTTTATATACTTCTGTAGGAGATAAATCTGTCTGTAGATGTTAAAGTTTTGAAGAGGTAATTAAGTTTTTTTTTATGGAGTAAATGATCAGACGGATCACCTGACCGTAGGCAATCGGCGTTGCTCACGGACACTATAGACCAGGGGTGTTACAAGTGCGTTACCTTTTAAATATTACGAATTTGAGGATTGTGGGGGATTCGGGTATTGGGGAGGGTGGGAAATTGGGCCATGGGGGGGGGGGGGTTGGTAAAGCATCGTAAGTGATTTAACTATTTGTAGTATTGTGAAGGCATATTGTTGCTTCCTGTACCTAATATACGTCCTTTTGTTCTTAATAGTTATCATTCTTGACCAATTATTTTAACAATTTGAGAATTATTCGATTCTAAAAGACACTCCTAATACCTATTGATAAATTAAAACAGTTAACCATTCTAGAACTAAGTTCAGCTAAGTCAGTTGTCTTTGTGACGAAAATACAAGACACGCCTAAACATAATATGAACGAGATATCAAAATGGTTTCAAACGAAACTAATCCATATAGACAATACAATAGACACTTGTGTGTGTGTGTTTTTTTTGGGGGGAAAATCATCGAATGACTGCTCCCGCCTGGGTGAGGCGGAAGGGAGTGTCAGACTCTTACTGACTAAAAACCACCCCATTCCTTCTCCTGCACTTCGAGCCGGAGCCCCGGTTACCCGTTAGGCGACAATAGACACTTGTGTAGGGCTCATTTTCCTAAACATTTTATGTTTGATATATTTCAGATGGTAATAAAATTGTATACAACAGAACTAAGTCCGTCTGTACGGGCGTCTATAATGGCCTTCGAGATATTTCAAGTTCCGTATGAAAATATAGAAGTCAATCTATCCGATAAGTCAATGTTGGATCCTGAATTCTTAAATGTAAGACAATTCATAATGTTAGACATTTTATTCGTCCCACTACTGGGCAAAGGCCTCCTTACCATCCTTCCACTCATCTCTTCTTAAAGCTTTTTATGACCAATCCTTTTCATAGGCGTCAAATTCATCATTTATTATAACATCACGCCTTTTATCCCTTAAAGGGTAGGCAGAGGTGCACAATACGGCTCTTAATGCCACTGTACAATGTAACACCCACTTTTCACTATTTATGTTATGACTTATGAGTCCCATGTAATATTTATTATTTATTTATTATATTCATTTATTATAGATAGTATAAAAATTATTAAAATCATAGTCAATCGTAGAAATTGAAGATACATGAATCCATAGTGGATTTATGTATATAACGTAGTCTAAGTACATTAATATACTATTTATTAAAATTACGTTTTTTAGAAAAATCCAATGCGAACAGTTCCGGTTCTTGAAGACGAAGACTTTATATTGCATGATTGGTATATTATTTATTTTATTTTAAAACCAAATTGTTTTATTCCAACATAGATAACTCAGGACAGGAACATTTCATTTACCCAATTGAAAATAATAATAGATTAATTAATATTAAAGTTACTAATATATAGAGCATATATTAGTAAATATCTTCGGATAGAACACACGTAGCTAACTTATTGAACCCTAAATATCAAGAATGAGACTATACTTTATTTTTCAACTTAGATGAAATGTTTACGTCGAAGGTATTGGTCAAAAATAGCCTGTGGCTTAATCCCAAATGTATGTATGTATATAGCAATTTTTCATTCATGCTTGATCCTAAATTCTGGGAAATCCACAATTCAAACAACGCCATTTTACCCGGTTACGGCTTAACACGTTTTAATTTATTATTCTGGAAATTGATTTATTTTTTCCTCTTAGCTGCGGTTATTTTGATTCTAAATCACTCGTTTTTATTCTTGTAATTATAAGGTCCTTTTCCTCATGTGTTTTCATCATATTTTTTTATTTTGTGTATATATATTTATTTTGTCTATAAGAGTAGGTGGGTTCAAGAGATTAGAGGGATACAACGAATAATATAAGTAGTTTTAGGTTTGACTGAAAAAATAAATATTATAGTGAAAACAATCTGGAAATGTCAAAATAAAAAAAGCTGGAAAATCTGAGTAAAAATAGAACTTTCGTACTAATTGTAAAACATATTGGATAAATAGTGTAAATGTTGGTTATCATTATACCAAATTAGCAACCCGGCCTGGCTTCGCACGGATGCAATATGCATGTATTATAGGTACATATAAACCTTCCTTAAAAAACACTCTATCTATTAAAAAAAACCGCATAAAAATCCGTTGCGTAGTTTTAAAAATCTAATCGTACATGGAGATGGCGGATAGACTTTGTTTTATACTATGTAGTGATTAATAAATGTAGGTTTAGATAGAATTTATTTTAGTCTAACCCTCTATTTAACATTTCAGTCATGCAATATTAATGTATTTAGCTGATGCATACGGCACTGAAGATACATGGTACCCGAAAGATTATAAGGCCAGAGCGCTAGTCAACCAAAAACTAGCATTTATCAATGAAATTATATTTTCTGGATTCAAAAAGATTGCGGTAATTTATTTTGTTCCTTACTATCTGTAATATATTATTAAATAGTATTACCGAAATCAAAAGACGTAGGTCCTTCGGGTGAAAAATATTATAGCACTTTCAGTTCGTCCCTTGTTATAAAAATGTCAAAGAGAGAGAGCCCTTTTAAAAACATTATATTAAAAATACTGTACCTATATTTAACATCATAATATTAGCTCAGAAATATTGCCAACGGTTCGATAAGTACTAACATTATGTACCTAAGTAAGGCAACGTGTTTTGTTTACGTAGGCGCCCAACCAAGGTTGGTATTTTCAGCAAGGTTAATTGTAGATTACTTTACGGACTGAAGGTTCATGTTTTGTAACCTTATATTAACTCGTCGAGTACCGTATTTATAGACACAATTAAAGAACAATAGGTCGCGGTCACCGGTGACCGCTTGGTGTTTGACAGTTTAATTAATTAAAGAAAGAAAAAACTTAATTTCACATGTTAGAACAGACAGATTTTACTCATAACTTTATAAGTATCTACTAATGTCCCAAGTCTGCGTTGAAATGGGACCAGTTCAGCATGTGCAAGACAGGGCCTTGCGCTGGTATTCTACTTGGCCCCTTAAGCGACTCGCGGCCGAACACCATTCGAACAACAATAAGCATTTAGCAATAAAGATACAATTTTTGAATTTGAATTCGAAATTAATTACTAAATACACACTATAAAATACATATTAGCTACTTCCACAAACTTGATAAATGAACTATCAAACACAAAAATAATTATTGAAATCGGCCTAGTAGTTCCGGAGATAAGCGCGTCCAAACAAATAGACAAACTATTCAGCTTTATATAATACATATTTATAGTAAGGAATAAGTATATGATAAGATTCTCGATTACAATATTGATGACTTATATCATAATGGATATTATAATTATGGTATCATGATTTAATCTTCCGTGCCTAGGTGAGCACCATATCCTGATTGTTAAACGGATAGATCGATACACAAATATTTTAAAATGAATCAAATGATCAGACGTCCACAAGTTGCGCAATCTAAAGAAAATCTTTACTCAGCCTGTCTCATATTGCCTGGATATAGTTAGATTAAACTGTCAAACACCCAGCGGTCACCGGTGACCGCGAACTATTGTTCTTTAATTGTGTCTATAAAACCGGTAAAACGAGTTAAAATAGTAGAAGGCATAAAGTAGCAATGATTATTTTTTTAATAGAATAACTAGCGGGCCCGACGGACGTTGTCCTACATATGACGACTGCAGCGCCATTTGCCGGGCTTATTTGTGAATCTAAACCATCCAGGGTGCCACTCAAACGCATAAAGAAAAATTCATTTAAATGACATATACACGTACAGCAGAATTATATATATAGTAAAGATTAAGGCTTAGTACTGTATCCATCTACTTTTTGCTACATTGCATTTAAGTTTCCTCTTCTTAAACTCTCTTTCTCTCTACTTATATGGATGCTGGTGATCAGCTTGGTCAGCATCAGGATTGTATCTGGAGCGGATGATTTGCTTCCAGCGGTTTCTGTACACCGCGTCTCTTACAGTTGTGCAAATTTTGATGACGAGTCTTTTACTTGATCGGTCCATCTCGTTGGAGAACGCCCATGCGATCTTTTCCCTTCGGCGTTCCCAACTACAATCAGTTTCACCTCGTTCTGTTTGTGTGGACTGTATGGTCAAAGTA